AAAAAAGCGCAAAGTGGAACCGAAAACCAGTTAACAAAATAAAAAAGAAATATTGAAAGATATAAAGTGCCTGTAGGCTCCATGTATAGTACAAGCAAAATTTTAATTGTTTTTCTGTAAACTAAAAAATAAAAATTGAATTTTTTTATAGGCATAAAATATTTAGCAACTAGCGTTGTACATACATCCTGTGTTTATTTTCGTGTTGTGCTTTTATGTATGGACTCACAATATATGAAAATACACGCAATATTTTTTCTCGCTCAGTAGTAAATATGTATGTAAATAAAAACGTATGTTAATCTAGGTGGCTGTTGTGTAATCGATTCGAAAGTGTTTTCGTCCAGAAATGGATTTTCCTTACTACATACCCATATTCGATTAAGGGTTACGAGCAATAACATAATCCGAATTCGATTGTCAAAGTTACTCGAAAATTGGGAAAAGTTATTCGAAATCGTTTGAGCTGAAGGCTAGCTTGCACTGGCTTGAGAAAACATAAATAAAGTTAAAAAATTTAATTGAATCAGAATTTGATTGAAGAAAGCCCCATGTCAGCTGATTTTCACAATGTATTTTCGTCTGAGATAGGCCATTTTTGAACCGAATTCTGGAGTAGAGCGTTGTTGAAAATTTTTCTGATATTGGACGTTTTCGAACCGACTGCACAGACATTTAGGTCGATCTTACTACACTCAGCCATCGATATACACACATATTCTCACTGTATATATAATTGGAGCTTGCGACATTAATACACCCTTGAAATACTAATGCTGTCATAGCCTTTTTTTGATTTTTTATTTTGTCATGATAATGCTCATTTTGATGGAATCAAATTTTAAGCTTTTTTTAATTTCAAAATTCCTTTAAAAACTTTTTAAATTTTTAATCAAGTCTTTTTTGAAATTAACTCAAGCTATGCGCATACATATTTACATTCATACTTACATACCTGTGTATATACATGAAATTTAGCAGCTGATAAATGAATGAATGTTAAGTGGTAAGCTATTACATTTGTTAGTGTCTCTTTAGCGGAAATGAAAAAAATATATAAAATAAGAAATTTCTCTGGAAACCAACCCACGAAAAAACTTAAAAGGACAGGCACCCTCAGGCTTTCTAAATGCTGTCTATTGCTGGCTATGCAATCCTGGCCACATACATGTACATATATATATGTACATGGAATGCGTGTGTATAAAGAATAAAAACAATATGTACGTAAGTGTACTTGCATGCCCATTTTTTGTGCACAGTCTGAGGCAATTTAGTTTTTTGAACTTAGTAGCATGTGGACACTCCCCAGCAAAATACCACTGCCATGAGTAATGACTCTGGTTACCCCTTTGTTGATAACAAACATGCAAGAACGCCTTTTTTAAGCTTTTTGCTCACTACGTACATATGTATGTACGTTAGCATTTTCATTAGACCTCTTCCGTCAAGTCGCCAAAAGTATGTAATTTCTCTACTTCCCCCCCTCTCTTTGAATTTAGTACAAACTCCTCCATACGCCGCTACATATGTACATACGAATTGCCAACAACGCTGGTCTTTATTGTTGTTGTTTTTTCACTTCCGGTTATTTACTGTTATTTTTGCCGTTTCTTTCCTTGTATGGCATAGCATTTTTCCAGTTGTCACTAAAAGCCACATACCATGCCATTTACTCCAGCGGCACTTTTGATGTCCTTCGACGGTCTAGTTTGGTCCTAGTTTGGTTGTGCCTACAATGTGTTGTTTGTACAGTTGTCGGAGTAGCGGTGCAAGTAATGTGGAAATAAAATTATAACGGTGATAATTCTTGTTTATTTTGGTTTTCGTTTTTATTGTGATTGCCTTCGAGGATATACATAGTATAGTATATGTAGAAAAACATTAAACTATTCTCATCTTATTAAAGAGCTTCATTTTATAAAGGGACACATACAGTTTTTCACGGACAGTTCTTTAATATTTAATTTTCACTCATGAATGGTCTATTCATGAGGAGAATTGCGATATGTTCGTCAGAAATATTCAATGACTGCCCCTTTTTGTTGTCATTAGCCGTCATCGATTCGCCAACAGTTAGCGAGTGGCGAAACGAACGAACTCAATGAGGTACAACCAAACTCGCTATCGTCTATCCATGCTAGCTAACTTTGTTGTTGTTTTCACATGCAAAATTCTTCTTTAAGCGACCGGAACTCAAACACAGCGAGCGAGTTGTGGCGAATCGATGACGGCTATTATCGCGATGGATGCCAGGACACAAAATGACACAAATGCTGAGGCCGAGGCTACGCAATGAGCGGCTTAAAATTAAAGCATATGAAACACTATTGAAGTGGCAACGCCGCTTCGCTAATTTACATTATCATGGCGTGTCTAGCCATCTCGTCGCCTATTTCGTTCCCTTTGGTATTGCCCAGTCCAGCAGTTAAAGTTTAACGTGACATGACTCAGTGAAGTTAGCGATGCACGACTTCGGATACATATTACCCAGCCGACTACTTTTTCTATCCTTCAGCCAACGGGATAAATGGAAATACCATCATTTACCGACATTAAACCACCTTCTCGATCTTGCCTTAACTATAAATCTCAGGTTAAGGTGAGGTAATCAGCTTAGGCGTTGAGTTTGTTATGCAGTCCACTATTAATTACCTCCAAGACCGCTGCGATCAAGTAATGGGTCTGCTTACACAATGTTTCTAAGTACCCCTTTTGTGGCTGCACCTGTTACGAATACTTGTGGTGGCTTCAAGATCTCGTTCAGCCCTCCTTGTGGGGCGCTGCTCATGGCGCCTGATATAGTGCTTTCCACCAGATCAGCCCTTCATAGGTCAAAATCGATCGGACGACTGCTCTCTGAGAAACAAGATGCCACTACGTAATATACATAAATAGCATTATGGGAATTATTGAAGAAAACTGAGGCTGTAAAAAATGTCTAAATATCATAACATTTTTCTTGGAAATTTGGAAGTTCAAAAAGTTCATTAAATGTATTATATGTTCGTTAATTAAAAAAAAAAAATAACGCTGATTTAAAAACGAGTTTTAAAATTTCTAAATATAAAATAGAAGTCCGTTAAGAGTGATCCACAAACCTTAAGGGCACCGTAGCAAAAACATTTCAGAAGGGATTTTGAAAAAAATTCAAAAAAAACTTAATCAGTTTAATAAACATACATACATATGTATGTACATTGGGGTGGTTCAAAAAAAAATTTACAATCTTAAACTCTCACCCTCCCCCGGATTTTTCTATATAAAAATAATACTCGCACTTTTTTTTTTTGTTAAAAAAAATTTATATTTGTAACTACATACCTCAAAGCCCATGAAGTTTTTCATATATTTTATAAGGAGAAAAACACTTTTTCGTAGAAATGGTATAGAATTCCTGAAAAGCAATATTTTTCGATCGGAGAACCCGGTTTCTCTTCAGGAAATTAATAAAACTAAATGGTTTATTTTGCAATTTTTAATACTAACAATTTTGTATGTGTCTCCCCATTAATTTTTTGGAGTTTTTGGGAGACCTTTAAAAAATTGTTAATTTTAAAAATTCTTTTAATAAACAATTGGGTACTGTTGTGGGATAGAAACAGAGTTTTTCGATCGTAAAATTATTGAAGTTCAATAATTCTATTTTTCTCTATTTAAAACACATGGATAAATTCAGGGGCTTTGAGGCAATTCTAAATATAACAATTTGAAATTTTGATGAAAATTTTTGAAGTTTGATAAATTTTTCTCAAATTTGTGCAAGCTTTAAGACTTGTATCTATGTGGGTTCTGTTATAGATTAAATTATATTTTAATTAAGTAATTATAAACAAACAATATTATTTTGACTTGTGACCATAACTATACATACATACAGTCAGTCAATAAAGTTTAGGTACAGCGAATTTTTGCCAATACGGGCAACTATTTTTTAAACATTTTATTTTTCGATAATTTTTTATAAAAATATGATGGTCAATTCTACAACAAAAAACCCAATAATCAGAGTTCCGAACCTTGTGCAAAATTAAAGAAAATTCCGCAAAATTTCATTCAAATATTGCACTTTTTATTTACGCTCTCTAGAAAGAAGTTGGGTATGCAGTTTTTTTAGCACATTCAATTTTAGTATCACAAAGTGCAAGTTTGTGGTGGCTAGGACTTACCATTGATTTTTAGGATTTTTTTTTGTTGAAGGTGTCGCTCATTTTCTCCATATAAAATAATGTTTGATAATTTTTTTATATGGAAAAAATGTGCGACACCTTCAAGAAAAAAATATCCCAAAAATCAATGGTAAGTCCTAGCTTCCTCATACTTGCGCTTTATCATACTAAAATTGAATGGGCTAAAAAACTGCATACTCAAATTTTTTCTAGAGAGCGTAAATAAAAAGTGCAATATTTGAATGAAATTTTGAAGAATTTCTTTAACATTTTTTTTTGGGATTTTTGTTGTAGAATTAACCATATTTTTATAAAAAGTTTGCGAAAAATAAAATACTTAAAAAATAGTTGCCCGTATTGTAAAAAATTCGCTGTACCTAACCTTTATTGACTGACTGTAGATATGTATGACACACATAGCTAGTAATATATTTATACTTTGCCTCTTTTTTTTAATTTAAAAACCTCATCATAACAACAAAATTTTCGCTAAGTATGTACGCCGCTTATACATATATACATACATACATACACAGATACATATATGGCATTATGCGAGCCCAAAATAATTCATCCATAACAGACAGGCCCTCACATCCTCACATTTACGCAGGTGCGTATAATTTTCCATTTGATTAGCTACGAATTTTGTTTGAACAAATACTTTCTATTGGGGCTGCCGCGGAAGAGAAATTCACTTAATCTTTTTTTCTTTTCTGCCAATGATTTACCACCACATTGAGTAAATACATACATATGTATGTACATATCTATCTATAAGTAAACTAATATCTGCCTTACTTACGACATTCTCTGCTTATTTATTTACAGGATGATTTACCGGGCCAAGCATTGCTGGATGTTGTTTTTGCCAGACTTAATTTAATCGAAACTTCATATTTTGGCATACGCTATATTGACGAGGAGAATCAGACGGTAAGTAAGAGAATAATGAAAAAGATAACAGCATGCAAACATACATTTACACATACAAATACGAAGATGCTTGCGTTGTCAAGTTCAGCCCCCCTCCTATTTTTAAATTTTTTTTTTTTTTTTTTTTTTTGGGTAAAAAACACCAGGAATTCAGTCTTAGGTCGTAATTCATTTTCTCTTGCATTTTCATGGACGTTCATTGAGCCGTAATGATGAAATAAAAAGTGAAAAGCTGCTGCTCCCTTCAAGGCGGAGAGTTTTCCAATTGTTTGTGGCGCGCGATGTGGTAAAATAAGAACACTTACCTACCTGTCTGCCCACGGCGCACCGTGAAAATATAAAATGAATTTCACTTTTCATTTCCCTTATTTCAACGAGCGAAAATAAAACGAAACGCGCACATTTTTTCGCAGATACTTTTGTTGCGAACCTTGAAAATATGCCACACGCAGGCAACAGCTAAGTATTTTGCGAATATTCGCCCTTATGCCAGGGTCGTACACAAACATTCGCGTGCTAGGCGAAAAGTTTCGCAAAAGCTGCCGATGGTGGATTGTCACACAACGGGGTGCAGTTAGTGTAAGAAAAGTTCATCAGACTGCCAGACGACAGCGAAGTTCGTTCTTCCTAACTCAACTGGCGGCGAGGATGTTTGCATTGTCCTTGAAAAGTTTCTTGGAATACAATTTACTATGCTCGCTTAGCCTTTATTATTTGCTGGCATTTATTTACATAGTTCTTCCATAAACATACTTTAAGACATACAAACATGCGAAAATATGTGGATTATTGTATCTACTAAATATATATGCACGACATATGCAAAGTTGTATAGTATAGCTTTGCCGTGGTTTGCGTGCTTTTCAGTCTTTTTCGCTGAAATTCATATATCTTGGCAACCTTTTTGCATTCTCTTGTTTTTATGCTTTTATTATGCAGCCATAATTTTATTATGCGCCAAAGCGGGGCAGAAAGGGTAGGCCGTGTGTGAAATGCTGTCTAATAAAATACTTAGTTTATGGTAATAGTATTTCATATGTCGTACGGGGCGTATACGTGATATTTGTTTACACACATAGTGCGTACTTCTAGTACAATTTTCTATTTTTACTTTGACTTTCTGCATTTGCAAGCGAAACTACTACTATTATTTACGTAACTCCACTACAGTTTGTTTTTCGCATGACAAGTGATCATATTCACACATATTTTCGTGCTGTATATTTTAATATAATTATTTACCACAAGTATTTCCTTAGATTGTGTGTGTTCTCTTTTTCCTTTCCAGCATTGGCTCGATCCAGCGTCCCGGATATCACGCCAACTTAAGCCTAAAGTGGATCCGTATGATTTATATTTCGGTGTTAAATTCTATGCAGCTGATCCGTGCAAGCTACTCGAAGAAATTACGAGGTAAGTCCAAGTAACTGATATAAAATAAAATATAAAATAACAATATAGTTAGCAAAAAATATTAAAGAAAGAATAGATTAGCATCTGTGCATATAAGCGTCTAACTCGCTTAAACCTATTTGTAGTGATGAGGGTTTTTTTTTTTGGAACACAACACTTCACCAATTGCCTGCTGCGTTTGTGAAGTTTCGCTAGCTGTGCAACCCGAGAGCAGACAGTTTCATTCCTTTTCCACGAATTTCTGCCTACTTAAGGTATCGTTTCAGCAAATAGACTGTAATGATGAAAGAGTTTTTCTTTTTTGTCAAGAGAGAGAATTGCCTGCCGAACTTTTTTTTCTTCGGGAAGATTTTCATCAAACCAAATTCCATTTAATAGCCAGAACATAATTTGTTGTTATTAAGCTACATTACTTCTCTTCTGTTTTCTTTATACACTAGTGTGGATTCTTCTTCTTGAAACCATTTGTTTGGAGTCTTATTTTCTAATCTGGCTTTTCGTTATCACATTTTTCTGCATTGTTGTCTGCCCTTCGTATTGAAGGCACACCAAAAGCGCTGTTTATCACAACGTGATCAATTTGGTTCCTAACTCTCATGATCAGCAGACACTGAAGAGGCCGAATACTTAGATCTGATACTAATGTTTATCAAGTTCTGTGCTGCGTCAATAATAATATTTTGTGCGTCTTAATGTTGTTGCACAAATGGAGTAAGCTACAGTTTTTCGACGCCTACGAACGACAATTTAAGAGAAGCTTTTTGAAGGCAATATAGTTGGAAATTTTCCATTGCCTCTAAGTTTTTTTATTGGACATTGCTTTGACCTGAGATCGAACCTTGATGCTACGGAGTTGTAGTACACATCCCTTATCACTCGACTACAGCAGCCGCCTCCCTATATTTTATTCAAAATAAAGATATGTATATTTAAAAAATAGGTGGCAACCCTGGCTAAAGTTATTTTGCTCTGACGTTCCTAATGCCTCCTTCCAACACTACGTCTACTACTATTAAAAATAAATGGAACAAAAGTATTTCCAATATACCATATTCCAGTAAATGGACTTAATAGTAGAAAATACTTTTTTCTAAACTCGTACAATTTGTCTTGATATGTTTTGAGATTAAAATTTTAACAATAGCAATTACAAACAATTTGGAGGTTGAACTTCATAAAAAATGTGAGGCACATGTAATAGAATTGAAATGCCCATTTGGAAAAGAATCCCAACGAAATAGAGAGAATCAAGGGAATATACTGATGGAAAAAAGAGATCGTTGCTGCAGCTGGATTCCAGCATTCACTATCGCTAATTTTGATCACTAAAAGTCTTCAGAAGAATAGCAATCGCGCCTAACAACATGCAACACCTAGTAACCTCCTAGTGCCTCTCATACTATCATCTTTGGTTGATTACACATTGTACATCTGTTACTTTTATGTTGCGTGCTTTTAGTCCCCACTGATCTTCATTTACAGAATTTTGGCGATAGAAATTTAGCGTGGCGATTGTCAGAATTTCACTGTTGCCTTTGTTTAGACGCTACTGCCAACAACAGGCTCCTAAATGCATGCTATTCTTCATCAAATTAATGAAATGTTTACAGTAAAGTTAAATACATATTATTTGCGAACACAATACGAAGATTTTCCAGTAAACAATTTCACTGTAGGATCAGTTTTGACCTAGTTAGAATTTTTTAAGGATACTCGCGTTATATATGTATGTATAGTTTTTATTATTCCTTCAATAGAAGATTCGCAATACTAGCTCAAACATTTGTTTATGATGACAGAATAAGAATGCGGAACAAAATGGATGAGCCAAGCCTTTGGGTTAAACCTTGTCCAAGCGAACCGTACGTGTAACGTAGCCAGTGTTTTGTGTAACGTTAGCAGTGCCAAAATTATATGAGCAAAAATTGTCTAAACCCCAAAATTAACAACAATTGGGTATGCATCCTTGTAGATGACTGATACTGAAAAACTAGTAATATTCATTCGCCTAGTTCGAAGAAATTTCAAACTTTCTGACATGATTCATCATTGAACTTCCAAATAGTGTAATGCGGTACGTGCACATTACCATGCCAATAACGTTAATACCAAAGGAGTTATTAAACACTTTCTTTACAGAAATGTAGACTTGAGCATTTGTGGGGTTTTTCTGTTATCAAAAAAAAAATATTAAAGACAATAAAAATCGATCTCCGCATGATCTATGCATAACCGAAAACGGACCATAAATATTGATTTTCCAAATATTTCGACTACTGCGCCACCTAGCAGATTAATTTCATATTGCATGGTCTCGGATTCTGATCTAAGCTCATCGGGAAATTGGTTAAAGGTTGATTCGAAGATTTAATTGCATACAGGTGAAAGTTAATAAAAGCTTTTAAAAAAATGCGTACGAAAGTAACATTGCCAGTCAGTTGCCAGATGTATTCGCGTATTCTAGCAGCAGAAAACTGTCAACAGTTGACAGTTTGTATATAGTTCAATTAAAAGTAGCCAGCCTAATTTAATTGGTAGTTCATCCGCATTTCTTCCACGAATACACTTTGTTTTGGCTCGGATGGGTTAGTAAAAACACCATATTTTATTTTTGACCCCAACACTAAAATTCAATTTTATGAATTGCGTTAGTTACAATCAGCTGGTTTTTTTCATCAGCTGATTTCTTGCTGGCAAATTGCCGCTTGAAAAAAATTTACAATAATATTACTTTGTAGGTAAATTAATCACTTTTAAGAAAATTAATTTTTAACTACTTACTTATGTACGTAAAATATGTGATTAACAAAGTGTAAGTTGCTTAAATAAATGTTGGCTTGAAATAAATTAAATTGGCATGCGAACCAACAAATGTGTGTGCATTTAATAATTTAAGCCTAAGAAGACATTTATTCATTTATAATTACGTGCACATCTTTTATGGCAATTATTTAAAGTAGAAAATTTGCAAAACAAAATAAGCACATTTTAATGGACATAATAAGCTTCAAGGAATAGCAATTAAACAAATATTTTCGATTGAAGCACACTCAAGTGTGTAGGCAAATATTTTCGAGACGCATTTGATTGGCATTAAAAGCGAATGACAGCAACAACTGCGCAAACAATAGCTCAATCGAAGTTTTACGAATAGCAATACAAATATCCACACATACATACCTGCAGCTATATTTACGAATATATCAAAATACGTGAATATACATACATACATATGTATATTATTTTCAAACGACAACTAACTGATTAAGCATTAACGTTTGAACGCATATACATAAATAATATGTAATAAAAGTTCTTTAAATACACATACATATGTATGTTCGTGTGCGCGTGTGTTGTTTAAAAAGCACTTATAAATCCCATTCATCGACTAGCCATTTGCAAATTCAGAATATTTACTGTCTGCTGCGAATTTAGCCGCATTATCGTACGAGCGAGTTACTACCGAGTGTGTATATAAATACTCGACATACATACATATATGTATGTATATTATGTTGGCACGACATCAAATACAATCCAATCAAGTGTCGACGGTGTCGTCGGCTGCATTACAACACACATATGTACATACATACATATGTTCATGCAGTGGACAATAAATGCATTTATTTACGCAGAATATTGTTATATATCCTGTCAGTTGAAGTTTATCGCAAGCACAACAAATAATTGGCGACTAACTAAGGTACTGTGGCGCAAGGTGTGGGATGTTGCAACATTATAATGCAGATGCGATGCGATGCAAATACATATGCGCCTATGTGGATGCAAGTTTAAAGCTTAATGCAATCAGCTACCTTGTAGGAAAATCCAAATATTCTGAAACAAAAATTATTTAATACAATTTTTCGAGTGACAGTCCCATATGATGGCCCATAGGCTATTAGAGCATTTTCCTAGACTACAACTATTTCGAAAGAGAGGAGCTTTAGTAGAGCCACTGCGAGTTATTCGTTTTAAGGTAAATAGAAAATTGAGTCAAAGTACAAGACTACATAAGATAGCAAGCAAAAGATAGGGACTGAGGTCCGTAACAACCGTATGGGTTCACTAATTCCTTTCGTTAAAAAACTCACCCAGGTACAAACCGTTAAACAAACATACTTCTTTAATTTTAGTTGAGTTATGGCATAAACGGACGGCAGCGTTGATCCGGATCAACTCTGGAATTAACTGTAGTCTCCGACTCCGACTTAATCCGGATCAACGCTGTCGTCTGTTTAAGCTTTTTTTAGAGTTGAGTACAGTAACAGACCAAACACAATTAATAAATAGATGCCCATACCATAAAAAAGGGCCGTGCTAATTGAATCATCTCGTCTGGCTTCCATTTGTGCGAATCTATTTTTTGTTTTTCTCTGTGTGAACAAAGCATTATAAAGAAAACGGCTTCTTAGTACACATGCTTGATAAAACATATATATATACTTGATGCCGACTTATCAAATTTCATTGTTAAATCGAAGACAAATTTTTTTACCCGACTTCCAAAAAAGGAGGAGGTTATCAGTTCGTTGGAATATTTAATTTAATTTTTATTTTTTTTTATGTATGTTACCGCATAACTTTGGACCACGTCAATCGATAATTCGTCTTGCATCGGAAAGGTAGTGTATCAGAGGTGGTCCCATACTAATCTGGTTAAGATCCGATCAGTGGATCATGAGATATATATATATATATATATTTTTTTTTTTTTTTATATGAGAGTTGAAGTCGTTTTTTTTTTTTTGCTGAAAATTACTTGTTAGCTCTAATTTTCCCTAGCGCGTCAGAAAGCGCCAGTCCGTGTTGCATTGTGCGAATATGCTCGTACATACATACATTCACATACGTATAAGTACCTATTTTGTTTTAGGCCTATTAGCGTTGATTGCGATTTGGCTGGATTGCGAATTGATTATGCTTTGAGATTATACTGTTATGCGTCCTTCGAGTGTTGGCACTGCACTTAAATTGCACAACAATAGCAACAAAAATATGTCTAAAATAGCAACACAGTCTCACAACGACTATTACGCAATCAACTCTACGCAATTAATTTGCTTGTGGTTAGAGGTTTAATAAAAGCGTTAATAATTTAAGTTTCAAAATGAAAAAAAGAGATTTTAATATTGGAAAATTCAAAACGTTTAAAATGAAAAATGTGCAACTTCGGTTTCACTTGTATATTAAAAAAAATAAATAAATAAAAACTTCATTTCGCTTGTGTGTTCATCAAACATCACAAGGTGGAAAAAAATGAGTATGTACACATGTGAAATATTTAAATAAATTAAAAACAAAAACAATTATTTTAAAACTTTTCTTCTTCCGATAAAATCTTTGCCAATGGTATTTGCATACATGTATTTATTTAAAAGTGGTAGGATAATAAAGGAACTTAAATTTTTATTTTAGTTATTTATTTATTTATCGAAGAAAACAATGTTTGTACAAGTAAGACAATAATCCTTTAAGAGTACATCAACTTAGATAAGTGACATAATATTTTGAATACAAATTTAAAATAAGCGTAAACTTTTAGAGTAAATAAAATATCAAATAAAACACCTCTTTGAGGTATAATTTTCGAGTGACGAAAGCTGAACTAGAAACACAAAGTTTATGATATCAATTTCGTGACGAAAATTATACGAATTTTTTAACTGCCTTGGAAACGTAGGGAAAATCTTTTTTATTCATACGAATCGTTGCAAAAGTTCTGTTTTTTGTTTTGTGTTTCTAGCAAATCGACTGACCAGTTTTTGAGAAAATGCCCGAAATGTATATTTTCAGCAGCCCGATTTTTAGTTTTCAGGCGATACCGTTATGACATAATTATATTTTATAAACACAAAAGGTAGCGTTAGATAGCTAGTTTGAAGACCCTTCTACTGATTTCCACATCCATGACATGGATTGAGTAGTGCGGCCTCAGTGGTAGTTTATAAAATTGCCTTTTTTCGAATTTCAGGTAGCAGCCACGCCCACACAGGCATACGAATCAAAACATCCTTGAACAAAACCTTCTTAGTTTTTTTTGTACTTTAATTCCTGAAAGTTTGAAAAAAATTAAATGATGGTACGTACAGACGCCACATACATACCAAAGCATCTCGTAGTGGAGACACGAACCAAAACACATTTACCTCTATATCTTTCCAACTAGTGGCCGGAACTTAATATATAAGATATCGTTTGAAAGGTATTGGCCTATAGAATAACACTAAATAAATGTTGGGTGTACCCACATGCCCCCTTAAACCGGCAAAAGCAAAAAAAACGTTTTTTGTTTCGCAACACTTTAGCCTAATTTTAAAGGATCCGGTTAGACATTAGCAGCGAAGATAATAAAAAAGGGACAGATGAGAGAACTGAAAACCATTTACCAAAATCACACCAACTATATAGACTTAAAGTAACTATATATGATCAACTTATAGTTGCTCCTACTTAGGCCAGATTCAACGGATTCAGGAATGTTGTTTCAAAGTCGTACAGCGTTTATAAAAAAAAAAACATCGACGATATCAAGTAGGTGTACTTCGAGATTATCAGATTGCGACATCTTTTTGATTGCATTAGACTTAGCTCCCCATACAAATACATTGGGGATTTCCATTCTAATAACTTATAAATAAATATGCAGTTGCTAGCAGAAGGGCAGAAGGGTAATCATTAATGCTACACCCGAGAAATTTATTCTTCCGCAGAGATATATGGTCGAACTTTTTTAGACTATACACATAACGAGTAACATTATTAAAGAGAATGTTAATTTTGTGGGAGGAAGTTGAAGCAGAATACACACTGCTGACTCGGAACACATCACCGACGAATAGACTGAACAAAAGAGGAACTAAAACTGACCCCTGCGGGATACCAGCTGAGGTAACTTTAAAAGTATAAAAAGCATTTTTCCCTTCACTTTTTGAACCCGAACTTCAAGGTAACTCATTATAAGTTTTAATGCGCAGTCCAAAAATCCAAAGAAGTGATTTAGTTTCTTACATAAGAGACCAAGTCAAATGCCTTTGAGAAGTCCAATAGGCATAGGAAATAAGAAGTCACTGTAGTCAAATTGTATTCTAATGTCGCCAAGTATTTCCATCATTGCAGTAAAGCAGCTGTGCTTCAGTCTAAACCCAGACTTCAGTGGGGATAGCAATTTATTTTTGTATGAATGATGAAATTTTCTATGCCATCAAAGACTCACATACTTTTGCTAAAGCTGGTAATATGTGCTGATCGGCCTGTAATCGCGTAGTCTTTTTTGCTACTGGTAGCATGACGGCTTTTTTCCAATGCAAAAGAAAGCATGATGTCGTGAAGCAATGACTAATGATGTGCATAACGACGCCGGATATGAATGGCAGAACTAATTTCACAAATTTCTCTTTACCTCTATCATCACGTTTACTTACTCCCACAAACAGAAGTTTCTCTTCCAAGGAGGTATCAGCCCAGAGAGCTTTCGAAGTGAGAGGTGCACCTAGGTTACTACTCGTACCTGTAAATAATTTAATATTTATAAAGGGTCTAAATCACTTTCAGACTTCAAATTCCCATGCCATAATCTTTAGAAGGAAGTGACGGGTCCAATTTAGTACCACAGTATTTATTTTTTGCTTGCTTGATAAGTAAAGTAGCTTTATATCGAGCAGCTTTATACTTTATACTGAAACCAGGCGAAGTCAGTCATTTGACTTCTCCATTTTGCATATAGCCTGTTGCGAACTCTTATTGCCGAATGTACTCTTTTGCTGAACCAAGGGCAAGATGGATTCATTGCTTGAGTCATACGAAGAGGAATGTGATTTTCGAAAATATTTGTCGAGTTCTTATTAAAAAATAAAAATTTTTCGTCTACTGAATCACGAAACCAACAGCCATTCCAATTCACACTTGAGAGGCTTTGACATAGCTGATTTATATTTACAGACTTAAAGTAACGATGCATAAATATGTTTCTAACAGAGGTATGATAACACATAACATGGTTGAGTCTAGGTGTAATAAAATAATCTAAGATGCTGAAGTTACAATTATTAGCAAATCTCGTCTGTTCAGATTTATTTACTATGGCAAGATCCGCTCATGTAGTAGTTGATCAGAATAGGTGTCGCTTTGGAGGAGGTTCACATTGAAATAACATAAATTTCATAGTCAATTAGTTAGATAGACAGTTCAACAAAAAATTAGTCTAATAAGCTACACTTGCGGGGATTATACATACACACACGCCAACAAAATGCTTGTTGGAAATTCGTGCAAAAGGATTTTTCTATAAGTATACCACAATTTAACGCTGAAAACGATAGAATAGTTGGTTTTTGTTAAAAATTTACCATATTTTTATGATGAACAATTATAATTAATTGGGTTTTCTAATTTCCAATTCAAATAAAATGAAACAAGATTAGTTTTTCGGAGTCGGTATATGAGCAAATCTCACGAGTTGTTATACTATTTATCGACAGAAACGTATTTTTGGTCGAAAAAGGAGGCACGCTTATCTTAGAAAATGCATTATCTTCAGTGTTGTATAAAGAATGAGATTCCAATGCGAAATTGTATTTAAATGCGTATGTAACGTATACGCCCCGTAGCACAATTATCAGTCGTCTAGTACGTTTACCAACAAGCCTTAACTTAAAAGTCATATTAAGTATTTAAAAGTAATTAAATATTATAATTTCGAGTGTGCCTATAAAAATTGTGAAAATGGAATTTTAGTTTCTCAAATCGTACATAGTCAATGTATATTTTTTCATTTGTAGCACACTAGTTATATTTTGGCAAGAAGATCATTTGCACCATTTAAATTAAACATTTGGAAGTATCTTCAATTATTAAAATTAAAAAAAAAAATTGTAAAATTTCAAAAATTACAAAATAGTCCAACGGCAACGTCCATTGCCATTTAATTAGTCGAACATGCTCTTGTTTGATATTTTTTTAGACAAAGTAATGCATATCGCACACGATCTTTAAAGGTGGCCCAACTCAAAATTTAAAGGTAATCATATTATAACAAAAATTTGATTCAGCTTTTGCGGAAAGGTAAATAAAAGCTCTGCGCATAGTTTCAAAAATGACAAATTTTGAATTGTGTCACTTTTTAAGATCGCGTGCGATATGATCATGGTGCAATCGTTGTCGGCACTCTGCAATGATTAGACCAATCGCTTTTCCACCTGAGCTAAATTTTTTTTAGAAATGTTTTTTCGATTACCCAATTTGAGAGCCCATCTTAAGCTGTTCTAGCCGCTTTTTTCAAGTTACTTTCAGAAATCGCAATGTCTGTTTTCGGCGTCTGCTCGAATGCGTCGGTTGAGACCTTACCCGCGTTTATCGTCATTGCCGTTCTTGAACTTCTGGTTGATTCATTGTAATTCTATCGACAGTATATTTGCAGGTTTGGTCAAGATGTTTGTTTTCACTTCAATACTTCAAAGCATAGCCTCAGAAAAATATTAATTTTTACATATTTTTTATAATCTGTTAACCACTGTCACAAATTTCTTCTTTACAGGTATCAACTCTTCTTACAAGTGAAACAGGATGTATTACAAGGCAGACTACCAGTCGCTTTCGAATTGGCTGCAGAGCTGGGCGCATTCGTAGTGCAATGTGAGTATTCTAGCATTTTCATAATTTTTCTGCATGTGTTCGCATATATTTAATACTCGATTGTTTTTAAAACTTGTATCTTACACTCTAAAAAACATTTGTTTAAATTTGCGCATATTAAGATAGGTAACCAGTTTTCTCCCTTCATGAATGTAAATTTACACACCGTTATAATTAAATCAAAAGCAGCTTGTTTACTTTTACTTATCATATGTGTGGCGTAGAACAAATTTCAAAAATTTCTTTGTTAATTTCTAAACATTTATTGTTCACAATTTCACAGTTTACACATAAAATGTTTAAAATCTGCTCTAAAAAATATTTGTTTAAATTTACGCATATAAAGAGAGGTTAACAGTCTCGTCTCCCAATTTGTGCAAAATTAATCTGTACATACCAAATTTGTCACGTAGAGACAATGTAGAAAATTACACAAAAAGTGTTTAAAATTTAGTAAATATGAGCACTTAATGTTTATTAATATTAAAAAATATATTTTTGCTCTAATTTTTTTTACAATTTTAAACATTTCATATGTATATTTGAGTGTATTTTTTAAAGATCTTATGTTCAAAATCAAATCTTGAACATCTTCTGCGTATATTAACACAGTTTGCGGTTGAAAAATGAACACTTGTCAGTAGTAGTTTTACATGCACTTTTAAGAATGTTGAAGCCACCTTTACATGACATGAACCTGCTTTATCAAGCATGTCAAGTTAAATTTTAAGTCCCTGCTTTATTTCTACCTAAATTCTACTGCCTTAGATGCCTTGGATGCCTTAGAGCTCTAAAGACCACCGGCTTGTTGATTTTAATTTTGAAGCCTTCAAAGCTCATATTTGTAAAACCCTTGGGATGTGACTTAGTTAAAGCATACGCTAAATAAATTAATGAAATTATAAAATATTCTAGATGAGGCCAAAGAAGCTCGCTGTTATTTGTTTTTTTTTTTTAGGGGCTTACTTATTATATCCTTCTTCACTTTTCTCACCGAAAACCTATTTAACAAAACTAAACCAAAGAAAAAATCGTTTTAACTTTAATAGAAAAAAAGTCCACAAACGACAATCTTCAATAAAACACTTTTCTAGCATTCGCACTTTAATTATCTAAAAATGGCAGCGGGCAAAACCCATACTTATTTCCTTTGTACCATTAAATTCCGTTCAGGCTCATTATACAATATACGAATAAGCACCAATTGACTTAACAAATTTATTGTATTTTATTAAAATCGCTTAATGAGGCGCGAGAATGTATTCCATGTAGTACCATGAACAGCCGAATCGTATTGGTAGTTAGTCATTTTCAGCTCGCTTTTGCCACCGAAGCGTATAAGCTGGCAGCATTTTCAAGTTCATTAAACACCTAATGAGTATTTTTAGAGCGAAAAAGCATGGAAATACTACTTGATAGAGATAAACAAATATTATGTTTATGTGAAATTATGCGAATTAAATTATTATTATATTAAACACTTTTTTATATAAGGACATATATGGATATTTAAATATTTTTCAGCGGTGATGTTATAACAAAATATGTTAAGATACAAATTTGTATAAAGAAATTTTAAACTGACGCAAGTTCACTATAAATATGAATCGGTTGTTTTTGTTTTAAGCTGAAAATCAAAAATGTGCATGTACATGTACATACCTATAACAAGTGTATGTATAAAGCATATTATTATCATATTTATTTATCTTCCATTGCCAACACTCATACTTATTGTGTGCAAATTTTCCTCTCATTTTCAGCTGAATTGGGTGATTACGACCAACGACGCCACTCCAAAGGCTATGTGTCCGAGTTTCGTTTGCTGCCGAATCAGAGTAGCGAACTGGAAACACGTGTCGCTGAACTTCATCAGCAATTAAAGGGCATGTCACCGGCGACGGCGGAGCTAAATTATTTAGACAAAGTCAAATGGCACGATATGTATGGCGTGGATCTGCATCCGGTGCTGGTGAGTGCAAATGCTAATTGGGGGGGGGGGGGAAAATAAAAATAAAAAAGTAAGAGAAGGATATTGATTAATAAGCGGCTACAGCGTGTAGAGCTTTGATGTTAATGTTTGATTTGGATTTTATTCCTTGTTCTGTTTTTTTTTTGTTTTTTTTGAAAATTGATTTGGCAAAGCAGATCAAAGAGATCAAAAAAGGGGGAAATAAAAAACTGAATTGATACCCAAGTTGCTACAATGGTACGATCTCTGAGACTGAGTGCTGCCGTAACCAATACTGTGTTCGGCTTTACACATTGTAGAATCTTTGCTGAAGGCTCCCAAAACAGGATTTGGAGTTTGTATCGAAAGTAACAGGAACAGTCTCCACTTCCCTCTCTTGGCGCACCTGCCTCGGTATATAAAGCCAAAATTTATTGCAATCCTCCAGGCCATGGACTATGTTTGTGGAAAATAGATGGAGAGGCAGGAATTTACGTATCTCAACCGACAAACCGAAGATCCCTTGCTTGCCAGCCACCATAGACAAGCATAATTTTTATTTCTTTCCAAGCGCTCATAGCAGAAATCCTTGGGTACATCTTATTTCTCTGCCATGGAGGGGAGTGGGCGCAGATGAGTGAGATGTTGAACCATCTCTCTTTGAGCTAGCATATGGCCAGATGCTCGTCTACTAGGTTGAATGACAGTACTCGGTGATGGAGTCTCTCTTCCACCACAAATCCAACTCCGAATTTGCCACCATTTTAAATGGTAGTTAAGCAGACGTCGCAGGGCCCCACGATGCCTCAAAAGAAGGTTGTCTCACCCGAGGCCGAATTAGACTTTTAATTGTTGGCTTTTTTACGTGGCGGATCCCAAACCCGTCCCACAACCCACACAATTATATGTAATTGCTTAGCCAGCTTAGTTCCAATGTATAAAATGTGTTTACATTATTCGCTGCGAAATTGAGCTATAAATGACAGTCGAATGCCAAATGGCGAACAATTATAACACTGAATATAGAAGCTTCAAAAACAATCCTTTGCTGGTAAAATCTTTAATTATAATTTTTTTTCAGACCCAATAATTTCTGCCTGACTTCTTTCTTTTTTCAAGTGCAGGAAATTTATTTGCTGGCATTTATGCCTTATGCCTTATGTCTGCGTTTCACAGCACATTCATATCATTAACAGTCATCAGACAATAAAACATCACGACACCCACTTTGACCCTCGGTACTTATGCATGTATGTATGTATGTAGCTTGCAACTCTGCCACACCCAGTCTCTGATAAGACGAAACCCCGCTTCAAGCTGCCACATGGCCATTTTCATTTACGACTATTCATTCATACATTTCGCCATTCAGTCATTTGTCACTATTTTGGCACTCATTGTCGCCAACATTGCCGGTCGTCTGTTTGACCAATTTGGTCTGTTTTCCTTCCTTGATTTCATTATCCTTACACAAGGCCACACCAATTTCATTTTCCGCCATTATATATTTAAGCGGAGTGGGAGTTTTTTTTTGGGGGGGAAGGAATTGTGCGTGGTGTTTGCATGGCAGTGCTCTCCATTCAACTATACATACATTTGTATGGCGAATGTGCGGCATACAATTTTTACTTTGTCCTTATATTTTTTTTTTTTCATTTTTATGCTTTTGCGTGAATTTTCGCTTCATTTGCATTTTTTATGGTATTTTTGATATCATGAGCAAATAAATTACCTTCAGTCGCGCGATGGCTTGCTGGTGAATAAAATCCTACAGTGTCTACATTGTATGCTGCACGTTTGTGTATCTACATAGGTTTTTGGAGTCACCGGTTTTATTGGTTATATTGGTGGCTACAAGCGAATTATAGCCCAAATTGCGACTCGACAACCATCCACCCAACCTTTGTTGCTTTAACTGGCTGTGTTATGTGTTGCCACTGTCTTAATTGCCACTCCCCTACCCCTACCCCTACCCCATACCCCTTAACCTTGCTACCCTCGAGTTTTTTCCTGCTCCTCTTATTGTGCGCTTATTTCTCTCTGCCCAGTTATCGCAACATTACTATCGAGCTTTATTGTTTTAGTGTTTTAATAAATAAACGTAAGATATTTTTATGGCGTCTATAATCTTCTTTTAACTTTAGTTCATTACTCAAACGAAAATGTATTAAGTCGTAAGATTCAGACTATCATAATAAGTATACGTATACAAATATAGTAGTAGTTTATGATGTTTGGAGTTTACGAGTAACAATTCGTGGTTGCTCTTTAGCAATTTCAAGTCGAGTTTATAAAACCTTAATACATGCACGTTGTAGATTTTGTTAAGCGATCGGGAAATATAATTTTTTTTTTAAGTGCCTTAATTCAAAATTTTTCAAGTTTTAAAAAAGTATTCAACTCATTCATACAGCAAAGATTTACTCAGACTAGTCTAGACCTGATGAGAGATTTGTAGAACGTGATTTTGGTCCCATCAAAAGATGGCTTTGGTTTTCAATTGCCTTCGTTTCATCTCCAAGCTGACGTGCTGGCATTAATGCCGGTTCCTAGGTAGAACTAACCAAATATCCTCTGCATTGCTATTGTTGCGTATGGTGTAGCTGCGATTCAGACTAACAGCATGCATTACTGTATCGCTATACTGAAGAGACCATACCTAAATAAATCGCCTTGTGTAAGATCTTGTGCTCGTCGTACTGCCGAAATAGGCTTTAAATTGACAAAAAATGGCCAAGAGCCGATTTGCTTATCTACATAAGGTCGTTTCCATGATAAAAGAATCACTTGGTTTATGAAGGTCTTTAGTATCTATTTAGAACGTAACAATAAAACCTGATATGTATCGTTTAGAAGACTTTTCGCAACTTATGGAAAGTTATTCATAAGATTAACTTGCGCTGAGCAGCTCGTACATGCGTCTTACCAGCCCTTCACCATTGGCCTTGAAAAGCTCCGACGGGACTACGTCGGCCCTGGCAAGCTTCTTGTTTCCAGGCCGCATTACTGCTATTCGCACCAAATCTGGATCGAGGGGAGGAGTGTGAGCTTCATCCTGATACATTGATATGAATCCTTTTTCGTTAAACGCGCCACCTGTGCAGCCATTCAACAGCGATGATAAGCGTTCCCTTCATATCCTCAGAATGCTTTGCGCGTCTGCTATCAGATTTCCTTCATCATCTCTGCTGCCATCAGCAGCGGATTTGAGATCATCTGGCTGCTGCTGGCGTAACCCAAGGCTCCATATGATCCATCTCACCCATGGATTGCTCACATTGCCTTGAGTGCACGAAGGATGAAATAAGAGTAGAGGTTCTCAAAGTCATATATAGCATTTTCAGTTTAAATAAAACTTTTTTTTCAAATTAAATGAAACCATTTTCAAACAAAGCGAAACCATTTTCAAATTAAATTAAACCTTTTTTAGTTTCAATGAAACTGTATCCTTAAAAGGAAGTTTTATTTAATTTGAAAATGATTTCGCTTAGCCTGAAAGGGGTTTCGTTTAATTTGAAAAAGGTTTCACTTAATTTGAAAATGGTTTCATTTAAACTGAAAATGCTATATTTTAGATCTATTCACTAAATCACGGCCTTGGGGTCTTTATGCCTAAGTGAAAAGAAATTCAATCAGCTATCTCCTCCCTGTATTTAAATAAAGAGAAAAAAGCGCAAACTTTCTTTTCAAACCGAAAGCAACGAAATTTAAAAAACGGTTCAGAGAAGCAAAAAGTGTCAAAAAGAATTTGTAAGTAAATTCACGTGGAATTATCACCAGCATCAATTACTACTTAGTAGTAAAGCCTGAGCAAGTCTTTTGCGATTTTTTTATTTTTTGCTTTATTTGTCCGCTTGTTGGAAGGTCAAATGCGACAGCAAAGAGGAAAAAAGGAATTTTATAAACAAAAAAGTAACGGTGTTGTGAGCAAAAACTTTGGCGGAAAATGTACTGATAATGACCGTCATCAGACTGCAGGCAACCAGCTTCCCAGTCCAACAGGTTGGCAGGTTGGAGTGGCCTGATGGTGAATTGTCGCGTACAACATAGCTAATAACTTTATTGAATTTTAATAACCTCTTTACAAAACTTGGCACGCTTGGACGAAGCAAAAGTTTTCAGCTTGCTTTTCAGTGGTGCGAAAAGCTATTTACAGCATGCTCTCAATTTCAGCGGGTGAGGGGGGGTTTTTTTATAAGATTTCTTTCCTACAGCTTTCGCTTGCATTATAATTCAGCATTGTTGTTGTTGTTATTTAAGATATTCAAAGTAGTTTCTGTTAATATAAGAGTATAGTAGAAAACATTCTTACACTCTTTTTTAACTTATTATAATTCTTCTTCTTATTCTTGTTTGCTTCTATTTCTCAACAACAGGGCGAGGACAGCGTCGAATATTTTCTGGGTCTGACGCCAAGTGGTATTGTGGTGCTGCGAAATAAGACGACAGTGGCTCATTACTTTTGGCCGCGTATTGCCAAAGTTTACTACAAAGGACGCTACTTCATGCTACGGATAAGCGATAAAAATGTAAATGCGAAAACGGCAACACGCTTTTGAAAAAAAAATAAAAATACAAATATTTTGCATTCAAGAACATACACCCTGCAAATCAAATTTCCCGAAATCTTAGCGAAATCATTGGGAGTATCACATTTCTGTAACGATTTTTTACGAATCTTAAAAGAAAATTGTATGAAGTGGTTGACACGAAACCCTACAGAAATTTCTGTACGAAAAATTAAGAAAATTCTGAAAAAATTGTGCAAGAAGAAAATAATTTCATTGCTTTGCCGATTTTCTTCCGAAATTTCGTAAAAGACTGGAAGTGTGCGCAGTTTATTTCATTTTAGAAAATTCGCGGAAAAATCGGATGAGATCTTAACAAAATCTTTAAAATTTCTCTACAATTCAAAATACTCTGAAAAATTGGTTTGCAGGGCATACATACATACATGCACAATAACAAAAACATACATACAAAATTTATTGCAAACTAACACTACACAATACACGCTTGTTATACATGCAGTTCTAAGTACTTATAAAACCAATTTCTTTATACCTCTGCTTGGCACTCGCAGTGCTCTGCCGCTTACTCTGCTTACTTTCAGTGTTGCCGCATCAACAATATATTTCTACCAAAATTCCCACGAAAAATGGACGAAAAGTTCAATACCACTCCAACCGTTTTGAGCAGAGGCAAGGTAAAAAAAGGTTTTTTATGTATTAGAAAGAGCTGGAAAAATTCTGATTTAAGAAAGACGAAGCTTCATAAAAGTTAAGCTAACACAAAATCACCCCGGAGGTTTTCTCTGAGCGGACTTAGATTCTCCCATGAGAAAATCCTTTAAATAAAAACTCTTCAGAAAAAGACGGCTGCCTGAAACTATGAGAAATAAGATTTTAAACTTGGTTGGTTGAAGTAACGAGTTTAACTACTACAATTATCACTTATGCGTGCCGTTTAAAACCACTACTCGCAATTTAACTTGAAAGGAAAATATGAAAAGAAAGCAGCAGAAATCGGTTATTTCTCTCAAACGGAGCATGAAAAGTTCAAGAAATTAAGAAGTTGCCTCGAAGCCTGATTCTAATCCTACATAGTGCTTGAGAATTACAGAGCAGATGCTCCACCGTATCTTCTGCATCAGCTAAATTGCAGCTACGACAAGAGGTGTTGTGCTCCAGGCCAAGGCTTGCAGCATCGATCCCCACGGCCCAGTGTTCTGCGTAAACGGCGGTTAGCCGAGATAGATCCCTGCTGTTCAGTTGCTGTGCATTTTTTGCTGCAGACTTCTGCAGACTCTACAGAATTGTAGATCTTTTCACCTTCTTCCAGCGCCAAGAGATGCGGCTCTTGATGTAGCTCAGAGGCACAAGAACCTCCTCATCTTCTGAGACAACCAGAGCCGGCTCATTGGCCGTCTCGTTGTCATGAACTCTGCTGCATGCCGGCACCCAGATCAGTTACAGGAACAGACAAATGCTCGCCCCTATGCCACAATCCATTTTCGAGACGTCCGTAAAAATAGATACATCACAGCGTTCAGTAAAAATTGGCAACATCAACTCCTTTATTGCCGAAGTTTTTCTTGAAAATTTTTCGCTAGTGCGTGGGTCGTTGAACGAGTTTAGGATATGTCCAAGCCCGTACCTACGTTCTTCCACATTCTACGTTTCCTCAACCTCAGGGCACTCTGTGAAACACTTTCCTTAATAAAGAGATCAATCGGGAACAAATGGCAGGTGGCATTCAATACTTCTATTACACATGATCTGATTGGCCCAGTAATCGCACTGCAGGCTGAAATGTGTACCCTCTCTACGGCTTTCCACCAAATCAGCGAACCGTATTCAGTAATTGGGGGAACCACAGTATTTTGCGTCCATATCATAAGATCAGGCCGTAGGTCGCACTTCTTACCCAGCACTTTCTTGCAGGAATACAGAGAATCATAGGCCTTTTTACTCAGTGCTCTGTGTTCGTTTTCCAGTTTAATTTCACTGTAAGAATGACTCACAAATACCTTGCGTAAAGGAAAAGAGAAAGATTATGCCCATATTAGGAAGGTATGTTAAAATTACGAATATCTTTCCTTGTGGTGAATAATGGTAATTCGATCTTTCTTGGATTAACGTAGAGCCCACAGCTACATAACTGCCCAAAAACCCAATTTTCCTAGTGCTCTTTAATATATTTATCTGCATACGCGACGATTTTGATCCCTTCGCTATTGAGTCTTGGAAAAATGTTGTTTAGTAAGCCAAGCCATAGCAGTATCGAAAGTGCCCCTTGCGTAGTTTCCCGCTTTGGATGCTTGATGACTTCGCTGTTGCCTAGCTTAGTTTTTACAATCCGAGTAGGAAGCATGGTAGAGATCCAGTTTACCAGGAAGTTCTCAGTCCCCATTTTTTTCTCTATGCCAATGTGATTGAACGAGCTTTCTATGTCCAGAAAGGCCGCCAGCGACCCTACCCTACCTTGTGTACAATCTCATGGAGCGCAGATTCCTTAGAGCGCCCTTTTATGTAAGGAAGCTGTGCAGTAGACAATTCTCCGTTGCCTAATTTTGAATGAATGGGCATGTCCAGTAGCCGCTTGAAAGTTTTCAATACAAACGACGAGATACAAATGGGTCTGAAGGCTTAAGGCATCGCATGCCCTCTTCTGCCTACCTTGGGAATGAAAACTGCTTTAACACTTTTCCAAATAGACGGAATATAGTTGTGCATTATAAATGCTTTGAAAATACTCACCAGCGAAAGAATAACCCACGATTGGGCCTCCTTTACCATTGCTGGAAAGATCCCGTTCGGACCCGGAGAGTAGCTGCTAATTGCCCATGCAATGTTCTCCTGTCTGATAATTTCGTTAACGACATTTTTGGATGGTGCCAGTACGTTGCTATCTACCGTTGAGACCTGATTTAGGTCACAGCCAAGAAAATAGGTAAGAAAAGAAATTCGAATAACTCCTTAGAACTATTGGTCCATTCTCCATTTACCTTTTTTAGAAAGGAAATATTGCTGTGTTCCTTGGATAGGATTATCCCCATCTTGGCGGATTCTTTCGTTGATTCTATAGAATAGCAAAAATCCCTCCCGCATTCCTCTTTTGCTTTGCGAATCGCCCTTTTGCAATTTCTCAAGCTATACTTATAAAGCTGTCAGTTGCCTGTGGAATAGCTTAAGTTGAATGCTTTGCGAGACTCTTTCGTGAGCTTCGAAATCTTCTCTTCCCACCATGGAGGGCCGAAGATTACGGAACAGGAAACTTTTAAGGCCGATCCCATAGCCTTTTCGAATTTGCTGCACTTGGTTTCTATATGCATATATCCTCTAAGGTTATTAAATTACCAAAGTTATGTTTTCCAAGTTTATCACTGACCACACCGGCGAACCGCCGCGTGTTTGTTCTCTTTGGGTTACGAAAAAGAACGGAAACATTCGGACTAACTTAGAACCAGGAACTATTTTCGTTGAAGCGTTACCTCCCGGCCAAAATTCGACCCACCCGCTACTGTGAAAAGTTATTTCAGACCAATTAAAATATGTTAGCCCCTTATTCGACGTATTTTTGTCGCTTCTTTGAATTGACTTAAATCCAAAAAATCGTCTTGCAAAACCTGCCAAATGGAAAACGAATCTATCCATCTGCCAAAATTAGAACAATATTCCACTAAATTTGGTAAATTTCTACTAAAATGGCAACAGTGCATACTTTAAAAAATATGTATATATTTCCTTTTCCTTAAAAAAGTAAAGCAAATATACATACTTACATATGTATCATCGTCTATATGTATTAAAATGTGTCGCCGTCTTTGCCAAAGTGTCAGAGCATTTTACGCTCAAAATAATGCGCTGAAAAGCGTTAAAAGCGCGATGTTTACACTGAAGGTGCGTACAAACAGTCTGAAGGCTGCGTGAAATACTCGTATCTTAAGAATTCGCTTGACTTTGCTTCCAAACATAAAAACACTTGAAATATATTTGTTGAATGGAATTTCTTTGCAATTGAAGCATTCATCTTGAGTTGTTGATAAAAGTAGAAGAAAATCTTCATTGACTGAGAGCATATATACATATGTAAATATGTATAAGAAATAAAGCTTACATTCACAATACTAACTATATATTTACATATGTATTTGAAAGCTGTGAAGATTAGTTGGTTTATAAGTATGTATGTACAATAGACTGCATCACTCCCCATACAAAAAAATCCGTACTGCGTTTCCATTGGAATTGTAAAACACATTATACTCTAAGACATCCACAAAAATATTTTGAAAAAATTTGAAAATACCCTCAAAAATTGAATATTTTATGAATAAAAATAGTTTATTAAAGATTTTATTTTTTTTTTAAATCCCTCTAAATGACCAAGCGGTTTAAGCTTAAAAAGGTTCCGCAAAAATGTTTTAAAAACATTAAAAAAAAACTCGAACGGAATCGTAATAATGAGATTTTTGATGCTGTTTTTACTTTTTTCAAAGATTGGTATGAAAAAAACTTGTGAGGTATCATTCAAGGGTATTTTCCCACCCTTCTAATTTCTTTGCTAATAAACTCATTCAAAGGATGAAAGAGAAAGGTAGGATGGATGAACGAACGTCATTCAAAGTTTAATTAAGAGGTGTTTCTATTTGTAAAAAAAAAATAATTAAGTAAATTGGTAAACGAATGACTATTTTTCCACAGAAATAAAAATAGTGGGAAAACACCTTTCTACTGAGATCCCTTGAGTCTAAATCAGGGCCAGTTATTCAAGTTTTTCGTAAATCAATCTTTGCAAAAAGAAAATAACAGCATCAAAAATTTCATTATTACGATTTCGTTGAAAAGATTTTAAAATATTTTTATGCAGATTTTTTAAGCTTAATCTGTTTTGCCATCTGACTTTCGGACGGGACTTTTTCAAAAATTTCTTTAAGAAACTTTTTTTATTCATAACAAAACCCATTTTTGGTGGTATTTTCAAATCGGTCCAGCTCACGTAAATCTTAATATTTTTCCGAAATATTTTGGTGGACGTCTTAAAATTTAATAAATTTTGTAATCCCGGCGGTGATGCAGTCTAATGTACATACATACGTACAAGTATATAAATACTTTTATATTTAAAAGGATGTATGTAGTTGGCATATTTTGAAAGGCACTTGCATTTTTTACTGCATAGAAAAATCCTTGTTAGGGCCATTGAGGATTTGATTTTTTTCTGTAATGCTGTACATCTAACATAATACGCTAACAATTATTTTGCTGGCAATGTAAAATATTCCTGCCAAAAATCGTGCGACTAGTCTCTAAAGAGAATCAGATTGGTCTCCACGGAGTACAATTGGGCATTAATTAGTCCTACTCAACGAAAACTCATTTGCTTCGTTGGCATAGTGAGCAGAGTATTTGGTTAGTTAGTAAAGCTAAGCTCCACGGTTCGATAATTGCAATTATTCTCTTTGTGCTTCCTTCTTCGCTTTGGTCGGCTAGTCCGACAGTGTGGCAGTAGAATGTATTTTGTTGAGGAGTTTCATCATTTCTTGTGAAATTTTCTTTTTTATTCACACAAAAACGCACAATGCCGAAACCAAATTTTGCAAAGCATACTTTAAAATCGTACCAAAATATTCGTCTTCTTCTTATTTGGCGTTGTAACCGACTAAGCTATTTTGGCAGAGTTCAGATCAGCAAGCCAGTCGTTTCACTTCTGTGCCAACTGACGTCAATTGGAAATGCCAGGTGTGAAGCCAACTCATTCTGCACTTCGTCTTTCCATCGCAGTAGGGGTCTCCCTCTTCCTCTACTTCCACCAGCGCGCTGCAGCGGGTTCCGAATTGAATACTTTCAGAACTGGAGCGTCGATGTTCATTCGAACGACCTAGTAACTTATAGAGTGTATTTTTCGCACGTCGAGAGATGAGACTTTACTTCAGAAATATGCGGTCGCTGCGAATTTGTGTCACCAAGTCTGGGTCCTTATGAATAGTATAACACCAATTCCTTTTCGCGTCGAATACTAGCACATTTCATTATTCGCGTGAAAGAGTAGCACACAAGGCGAATTCATATAAGGTAGTGGTAGCCGATTCTGCTCTGCGAAGTGCCGCACTTGAATAATACATATGAAAACAATTTCATTCATTCAGCAAATGTGCGATTGCAGTTGAAAGAAGCGGTAGCCTTGGTTCGACCGCAATTAGAGTTTCTTATCATTTGGATCCACACATCCAAATGGAGTTTTAATGTGTGGTAAAAAACTAGTATGCAAACACTCATGTAAAGCGGCCAAGCCACTTGGATTAATAAAGCAATAATATTTTAAAACAATTTTCTAGACCAACAACTACTATGTATAACCTTAACATTAGAATGCATTCGTGCGTGATTTACATACATACGTATTCGTACTTAACATACATACATAAGTATTTACACAAACACTTCTTTCAAATAAATGTTTAGACTTTCTTTAGTTCAATTCTCTTACAACTCCTTTTCATATTCTTTTATTTATTTACTTTTTCTTACCCGTACAGAATGAGCTCAGCACTTATGGCTTCGAAACGCCACGCAAATCTGCTTGCAAACATTTGTGGCGCTGCTGTGTGGAACATCACGCCTTCTTTCGTATGGTGCGCATTGCGCCATTGCCGAATTCGCAATCGAATAATTCGGATTTATTTCAACTTGGCTCGCGTTTTCGTTACAGGTGAGTGATAAATGGTTTTACGGCATTACAGTTTAAGTTAGCCTTGACAAATTGTTTGCATGGAATAAGTGGCAACCAATACCTATTTAGTGTTGGTATGCAAGCAAGCCGCCGGAATAGTAAAGTGCACTGGAAAAAATAAAAAAAAAAGAATGTTGAAAAGAATACCAGGCTTGCACCATGTATGCGTCAAGCTCAGCGGAGCACAAAGTGTTGGTGGTCAGCTGATGTCTCTATTGGAGAGCTAGACGATTTTAGGAAAAAAGTACTCAGATACTTTTGACGACGTGCGATCATTATTTCTGTTGTTTGAATTGATTTTAAAAAACGAAAGTGACGAAAAAGTGGATTTTGAAAATTTGAGTTCGAGTATTTCGTTATTACAATTTTCGACGTAGATTTTCCCGAAAAGAATGCATCGATTGACAATATTTAACTTTTGGTCTCTTTGATTTAAGAAATTAGAAGGGATGTACAGGTGCTGATTTGAAATGACTTTTTGAATTACCCATCAACTCAGGTGTGACATTGGACAGTACGAGCAGGAAGTCTGGTATCTACTGGTATAGCTATAAAAATCTGATTCTTACTATGCGGTTCTCGCTAAGTTGGTTTCTCATCAACTAATCGTAAATGTCTGGAATCCATCACTGCAAGGTCGCTTTCTACTCTCGCAATGAGTTCTAGTCGGAATTCTCTTAAACCAGTGTCACACGGATCGCAGATTCCTCAAGTTTGGACGATGAGTTGTGTGCACGAATAAAAAATTACTTTGCCTTAGTAAATACACTTCAGCCGTTCTAGTATGCAGAGTATATCGAGATAATCTCTTTTGTCGAGGGCTAGACCAAGATACCCTGGAAATTAGACGAATTATAAGGGACGAATTATACGCAACCCAATTGGGTGAAATCCCATAGTGCGTTATAGCTTGTTTTGTGTTAAGTATGAACTCTGATAGAAACTCATTCTTTCGTATGTTATGAAATCAATCGAATGCTAAGCTTAGTAAGCTGCCGTACTTCACTCCTTCTTTGGCATTATTTACTCAGATTTACTCCGAGAATCCTTCACACAGTAGGTGCCTTAAAGCTCAAATCGTCATGCGTTATTCGACCACGTACAATACTTTCAACTAGAAGCGAATAAATTAATTTGATATACTTAAAATGTTTCTATGTATCAATTAATGGTGATTTCGTTTCTACCAAAAAATGTCGCCTTTTGATTGCCCTGTTCTCTTTTCATGTCAACATGTCAACTTTACGTACCCAAATGAGCGTATGGACTCGAAATCGTCTAACGCTCGAGCAATATGATAAATATACATAGAAATTTTATGAAATTTTATATTTTTGAAAGAGGAAAGGTGTGCCAAAAATAAAAACAATATGAATAAATCATACTAACTTTACTAAAGTGTCTGAAATTACGAGAATCCCTTCAAGGAAATGACACAATTGAACTTTGTTGCACGTTCACATGGGAATTCTGCTTGTGACGGGATTGGAGGAAATTTTAAGAGCCTAGCAGCTAGAGCAAGTCTTCAACTCCTTACGTTACAACAAATTTGCACACCCGAAGCCCTCTACCGCCGCGGTGACATGAAATGCCTCATATGCCTAAATACTACAAATTATGATATTCGGACCAGTCCTCCTCTTTTCGTTTTTTTAAAGCCCTATTCAGAAGTCTGCTGGACCTTTTTCGAAGTACGAAAAGTTCAACACTCTGCCATGAGACCGATTTTTCCTGTCTGCTTTTACTTAGCGGACATACTTCCTCAACACCACCAATAAATTTACTCGTTACCTCGCGGGTCCGTCAACTCTTCAATTGATTTAAGGTTTTTGAGTTTAGGCAGATCTGGTATTCCTATTTCAAGGAGCAACCCAAACTTCTCCCAGTCCGCCCTTCGAGGATTCCGACCTTTGGGCACGTGACAAGTGTCCGAAATTCAATCAATTGATGACCTGATATATATTACTATTCCAAGACTCCTTTGATATGATCTGTGAAGTTTTCATTGGTTAAGGTTAGATAAATCACTTATTTTCTTCTACTGGTGAGAAAAGTAGCTTTGTTAATTACATTCTTCTATAGTAGTCTAATAGCTTGTTCCCACGAAAGTTGCACTTCGTGCTACCCCATATAGTGTTTGGTGAGATTTCGTCGCAACTAGAGATGGGTACGGGATTATTTAAATATTTAACCAGGTCGTCCCATACCAGCTTTAAGGTGGCATCGTGTGCTATCAAGGCGCCTCACATTTCCAGCTTAGTTCGGCTGAGAGACAGAGTTAACTTGTTCAATGATAGGGTTGTTGGGTTGTTTACGACAGACCCCTGGTCTTAGAGCCATTAGTTTATCGGTCGGAAAAGACCTGAAGGTTGTGAATGAAGTTATAACTCGGAAGATATATGTACCTAGGGCCACAATGAAGCTAATGCGGAGCCCTTGTTGTTGTTCTATAACCGTGAGAGGAGGTGGATTTACATACTCCGTATCCTCTGCATTGTTGCTTGAGACGAGTATTGCAGTAATTTGACTATACAGTTGAGCTTCTTTCAAAATAACGATATCCAAGGCAGAGCCATCTAAAAGCTCATCGAGAACAGATATATATTTCACCGAGCTTCTCCTCAAATTTGTGGTGAACAGTAAACAAATTTTATGGCAGAAATAAACCCGAAGGTTGGCCACTGCTTTCTGAAGCGCGACCGGCTGTTATAAGACCGTTTTTCTAATTAAAATGTTGTTCGGACCGAGGATCGAACCCAGGTCCTACGGAGTGGTAGTACGCACTTCCTGTCACTCAGCAATATCCATGCAGGTAGTTCGTTGAGGTTTGCTAAGCGTAGATTGCCGTATATTAATTAGAAATCGTTAATTGCCTACCTTTGTAATTGTCGAAATACTTTTTTGTTAGAAGTGAACATCAAATTTTTGCTCAGTCTATCCACCAAGTTCATTCCTCCAACTTTTCGTGAATTAACTGTCCTCTTCGAAAGGTAGAAGAGAACTATAGCAGCGCATAAAAAGCAGCTGCAGATATTATTTCGAGCAAATTATGTTATTAAAAACTGCAAAAATATTAGGTAACCAAAATATTAAATAGAATTTTCCATTTTTACAAAGATAACCACACAAAATTTCGGCTGAACTTTCAAATTTCAGTTTGAATTTCGGCAGCTTAATTGCTGTCTATGTACGCTGCTAATTAAAATATTTTATCATTAATTTAAATCCACATCTCAAGCCATTGTGTGTACTTGAGAAGTTTCAATCACGTCCACTCAAATACTATAACCAACTCATCAGAAGTTGCTATCTCAACGAGCTGGCTTATGAAAAGAAGCTCATAAACAATTTTAATTTGTTGGATAGCTTATGCCTGCAAACGTACATACATATGCACATTCATAAATTACATTACTAACAGTTCAGTATGTTCTAGCCATTGTGCGCAAATTTATATGACTGTAATGTGGCGTATTTTTGTATCGCTCCTGAGTGAGGATACCTCACTCATTAAAGGCATACACAGTTGAGATCATTAAATTCTGTACAAATGAGACGATTTTCAACACCATCACATACACTTGCAGCAGCAGCACACGGCTACGATATTGTTTTCATACTTAGAGTCATAAAAAAATCTTTCCTCGTCCACTTGGCTTCACCATAGCGACTCGGACTTCAGCGCACAGTCGTCTTTAATGACCTTCGTTTCGCCTCGCCAAACTAGCCAAGTGCCAGTAAACTTCTCATGTGAATACAAAGCTACATACATATGGACATACAGTGTTGTGAAGAATGTAGTTTGTAAATAAATAGAAGTGTGATATGTATGTATTAGAGATGGGCGCGGGATTTAGGAACCCGCAGGACCAACGCTACTGATTTCAAAATGGCCGGGAAGGGCGGTATCGGGAAGGTCTATACATATTTTGCGGGCGGGACGGGACCGAAATCATTTCCCGAAACTCGCGATAATATTCCAACCACCGCAAATTAAGAAAATCTTGAAATATGCACTTTTTCATGTTTTATTGAGACGAAAACGAAGAGCAAAGCAAAACAAAATAATCGAAAGATGCCAGATCGCTAAGAATTCCTTTTTCTTTTTTTAAAATTACTCAATTCGAAAGACATGTAAATTTTTCTTTCGGGACCCACAGTACAATTCGGAGAAACGTCAGGATGGGCGGGTTCGGGAATTAAAGACTAAATTTCGGGATGGGCATGATCGGGACTAAATATTTAATACCATGCCCATCTCTAGCATGTATGTATACACAATGTGCATACAGTTACTCACAAAAGTATTCGTTGTTTAGGTTTTTCACGATATTTAAAATGTCTCAATCTATAAGAGCAAGTAATTTTTAGTTAATAAAAATTTAAGATTATCGTTAGTTTCTTTATGGTCCAATGATCGCATTTAAACCGAATTAGTATGGCACCACCTGTGGAGTAACACCTTTACTTTAAAAAGGCAGTTATGGAAATCGGCTAACGTGGTCCAAGGTTATGCTGTAACATACATAAAAATAAAACAAACAAAAAATAAAATATTTGGTTAAAAATTATATACATAAATCAATGTTGCAAACTTTCTGCAAAATTCGCGAAAAGTCAGCGAATTTCAAACAAAGGCCATCAAAATTTCAAACTTATTATTCGGCTAGGAATTACCGTTGATTAAAAAAAAAAACTCCAGGGTTACGGACGCGACATTCGTACGAATTTAGAGTTAAATAAATCATGCGGAAACTGAAGTCACTTGAAAAAAAAAATTGCCGTTATGTAGCTTTTATACCGTTCTTTAGTTGACAAAAAATTAGGTGCGCTGCAACACTGACGTCGAGAAAATCGATGAAAAGGAGGGCATAATGGACGCGAACAAAACAGAAGTGATTCCAGAGTACATATAAAAATAAGCAAAACTCAGCGAATCGTGTAAGGTTTCCCTTTATTAAACATTCTTTAAATAAAATCAAATTATGGACCATTACAACCAATTCAATTTTAATCAGAAGCATTTCGCTGTTGATTTAATTTTGAATTAAAATCTTGTAACGGACGTGACAGGTTTTTCCACATACAATATTTTTTTGCCAGTAACACATACTAAATTTAATTTTCTATTTAATTTTTTCAGTTCTTCTCACCTTTTTTCGCCATCTGAATACGAAGTTATAAAGCCGTTTGAATTCATTCATTTGCATTTTCGGTTTACCTTTTTTGGAAAATTCCCATATGGAAGAAAATGGGGAATTTTGAAAAATCAACGGGCCATTTAAAACTTGCACTTTATTTACTGATATTAAGTGTGCTAGAAAGCTGTATACTAAAAAAAAAAAATCTGATTAAAATTTTGATGGGCATTTTCCGAAATTCGCTTCATTCACTTTGTAGAAAGTTTGCAACATTGGTTTATGTGGCTTTAGTTAAAAACTGGGCTTTATTTAAAATAAAAATTAACGAAAACGATTTATAATTGAAGCCGTTTTGAACATCGTAAAAAAAAAAACTACGAATACTTCTGTGAGTAACTGTATGTAGGAACTAATATTTTTCTTCATTTCTTTGCTCTTGTGTGGCAAGCATGTAGTTTTCACCCTCCGACTAATTGTGGAAGGGTCTAATAAAAATGTTTGCACACAAATATATCAGTGTAAGTGTGTACCACTTGAGACCATAGCTCATTGCTACTATACATCTATATGTACATATGTACGTATTCCCGATTATGCAGTAAAGGAGTGCAATAAATTTGTTGCCAACAACACGTTCGACTTTATGATTTAAAATTTCGTTAACAAATTTGGCTAATAAAAGAACGAAATTGTTGAGAAACTTGTATTAAGGTGCGTCATAAACAAGCGTATAATAAAAACAAATCGTAAAAGAATAGTGCAGCACAATAATTAAAAATATGTAGAAGGGCAACACCATCAACAAGGCATGATGAGACGAGAGAAAAAATAATAATGAGTGGAGCTACTTGAAAATATGCACCATGTTCTATAAGAAATAATAAAGAGGTTAGCAGATATGTATGTGGCAATACCTGTAAGCTTAGGTAGCAAAAACTTCTCCCATATTAGTGTAAAAGGAAATCTACATTTTCAAAGGAAGAAAAGGACGCAGCGTCTTATGGTTTCTTCTATGATCGCTTACACAGGGAAAATGTGAGCTATTGGGACAAGAAGTATATCTCTATGAAAAGTGTCTAGGTTAAGGAGTTAAACAGACGAAAAAAAACGAAGAAACTCATTAAGGATTCCTTACTGATTTTATGTGAAAATTCTTTTGGATTTTAGTTGTAAGAATATTCCTAAAAAATCATAGAGAAAATCTGCTTAATTTTATTCGATGCCTTCTTGAACAAATTTAAAAATTCATATTATTAAATAGAATAGTGTCGGTGAATTGCTGAAACTAAGAAGGTTTTCTTCTTGGAAAAGCCTATGGAGCTATCTTCTAATTTATGGGGTTCTATTTCATAAAGTGGTTTTCGCTCTGCGTACGAATGTTGCCTCAGTCACGAAATTACAATTGGAAAGGAAAGTATCTTTCGTCTCTTCTTCTTCTTCATTTCCTTAAATACCAAGCGAGACAGAGCGAATCTACTACTCCTGCGCGCCATCTGGTTCTGTTTCTGGCAATCGCTTTGAGCTCCTACCAGCTTTTGCCGAATAGCTTCGCCTTTCGATCGATTGTTTTTCTCCACGTTTCGCGGGGTCTGCCGGGAGGTGTGCCTCAGCTTAACATTTCTGAGCAGCTCCTCATTTGAGATTGGTTTAGGCCAAAGAAGTCTGAGTATTATTTTAAGGCATATGTTTCTGAAAACTTGCAAGCATCTGATTATTGCAGCAGTGACAGTAGGAAAAGCCTAATTTTTTGAGCTGGAACTCAGAATGGTGTTTCGCCATAACGTGTCATCATAAAGGCCGCTTCTTTCTTTGCTTATTCTGCGGTTGCCACGTGTCGATTTTTATTTTTTTTATATTAGTAATATTTTTCGAGCTAAATTTTTTTTTATTATTTTTCTATAAAAAAATACGGTACGAGCTTTAACCAAAACCATATAAAAGCGTTATACAAAATTTAGGAAAACTCAACAAATTTTCATCAAAATTTAAACTTTTAAATCTAAAAAAAAAAATTTTATCAACGGGATTTTTTGCCGTTCATTACACTAAACGCTAATAAAACTCACACCCAACAAATTTTCTAAAATCTCAGATTTAACAGTTGAAATTGTGGTGAGAATTCGTTCAGTTTTTTAACATTTTTTATAAAGCTGAAAGCTATGATTTATATGGTATAGAGTCTTCGTTGCCATTTTGGTAAGTATGAACATTCATATGTACATATGTACATAAATATACATGTTCCTTCGTTTTAAGATCAATAGCTTAGCGCTCTACATATGTGCTGATTTAATTTGCTGCACTTCTTTTGCCAACAGAAAAAGATGAATGGCTGAGTGCGTGGCAATGAGCCAAGAGGTACATTCGCTTGTTGCGACTGATTGTTTGTGGCTTTTTATGACAATCGCCATGGCAAGGTTACTTGGGGTGCGATTCGTTTGTCTGCAGCCGCAGGCGAACGTACCACAGACACCGGCAAAGTTAGTTTGCCTGATGGCTTGCGTCAATGTTTTTACGATCCCCGCAGACATTGTTTTATTGTCATGTGAACTGTTTCGCGTATTTTGCCCTTTGCGTTGAGCTCAAAAAATGCGCGCTCCAAAACATTTTCTAGCATCGTCCAAACCTTAGATATTTATGTAAGAACGGTAAATATTAGTGAAAATCGTACACTATTTTTGGAAATATTTTGTTTTGTTTAAATTGTATAAATTTGTAACACTACAACAAAATCCATAAAACTAAAAGTTTCAAACCTTTTAGCAATTAAAAAATATACGTAAGATTTTCATCAAAATTCCACACTTTTTATTTAGAATTTTTAGAATTTTTTCGATATGCAGTTGCTACAAAGTACCTTTGAGATTTTTTTGTTGCGCATTTTCTTTCATATAACAATAGATTTTGTTAATGCGCAGCCAAAAAAAAAATTCTAAACATTCCCAATAAAAAATGTGTAATTTTTTTTTATTATTACAAAGTTAGAAACTTTGAGTTTTAGGAATTTTGTTGCACTGTGAACTATGTTTTCCTTTAAAATAAATACAATTTAAATATAACAAAATATTAAAAAATGGAAAAAATTTGCTGTACGATTTTCACTGACACTCACTGTATGTACTTTTATATGCGGAAAGTTTTTGTTGAATTGTTATTCCATTTGTTTAGTGATTTTTTATTTCGTATTTCTCATCCAACCTAACTTTTTCGTTCTATGTACTCCAATATGATGACGCTCACACACTCCTGCATTTGCCAATCAACATAACCCGTAACAAACATGGATTGATTTGCGTTTTTTTTCTGTTTTCAACCAACCATTCGCCCAACCCATCAACCAACCAACCAAACAACCAACCAACCAAATTATAAAATCAACCAACTTGCCAAATTGTCCACCGCATCCAGCAATCGTTCCGAGAAGCAGCCATCAGCAAAGGATGCCCTCTCCTTGGGCCGCATACCGCCAGCGTTCACACGTGTCCCATCCAAACGCCAGCCAAGACGCGTGATTGATGACTTTCTAAGCGGCAGCAGGAGCGCCAACAACGCCCTGAATGGCATCGGTGTCGGTCATACGGGCAGCAGCGTTACCGATGGCGGTGGTGGCGGCGGCGTTAGCGTTGGCAGTTATTACAATGGCGGTGGCGTCGGAGCGGGATTGCAAACGGCCAGCATGATGCCAAAGTAAGTTCGTCCTATGCACAAGAGCACTCACAAAATGCATACCTACATACTCACACAATGCATACGCCTACATACATACATACATGCCTATTATTTATACATATATCATATCTACGGTTATACTTTTATATGTATGTATGTGTGGGTATGTATATTCGGTACTTTTAGCTGTTTCAAAACATTTTTTATTTTATTTATTTACTTTGTAACTTTTTTGTCAGTTTCTATTGAATTTCAGCATTCCCTTTGACTAATTTCCGGTGGAGGCGCTCTAGGAGAAATTTCAGCAGCATAATTCCTTTAGTTTTTCCTTGTCCACGCTAACCACTAATAAAATAGTATTTTGATTTATTTTTCGCCGCCGCCAAGTGTGATTTCGATGCGGTTTTGATTTTACGCTTTTTTAGCAGCCCACTCTCTTCTTCCAACTGCTGCACAATCGACCACGTTCTAAGCTGGCTGATTTTACTGCCAACTAATGGTGGCACATTTGTCATGCAGGCTATCCCAGTCGATCCCGGATCCTATGCGCCATTGTATGTGCGATACAAATTGTTTCGTTTATTTGGGCCCTCATGTTTTTTGCCTTTTCATTAGCGAAGAAATCAAGTGCAGTTCTTGACTTTCGATACGTTTTCATTGCGAAGAGAACAACAAGAAGAAATACACGTACGCTACACATATAAACTATTGCCAAAAAAAAAAAAAAAAAGAATTCGAGAGTAAGAAACAAATATTGTTAAACTAAGTGTGTTTTTTCTTTGCTCTATTGGCTTGGCTTATGCTTTTTCCTGCATGTACAGTAGGGCGGGTCGAAAATTTAATTTCTCTCAAATCCCTTGGAAGTAGTGAAAATATATTATATATATATGAGGCCAAAAACAATGCACACTGGTCGAATAAGAGGAATGCTTGTTAAAAATTCAAGGTTCAATGCAACGCAACGGACAAAGTCAAATGTCATTTCAGGCAGACCTTTAATTTATGATCACTCTCAAACTAACTTTTTTTCAACTAAGTAAATTGTAATTGTTTTGTTTGTAATTGCACTCTTCTATAGTCAAAGGATTTAAAGATTAGCATCCAAATTTTTGGGCTGTATTCAGGTCGTTGATTCCAAATATACTTATCTTTTTTTTCATACCACCTATAGATAGTTTGCGAATTTTAGCAAATTTGGAACAATTTCGGCAGCTTTAATATGAAAGCTTTTATTCCCCATAACCGTGGAAAAATTTCATTAATACAAATGAATTTGGAAACACTGAGATAGCACAAGTTGGAGAAGCACTAATTAGTTTTCTTATGTTTATGCATAAAAGACAAAAATCACTAATAAAATAAGTTGAAAGGAATTTGTGTTCAAAAATTTCAGTTTTTTTTTAACGATTTTCATTATATATATTCAGGGCTATCACAGAATCCATCGTAGTCTCGATTTTCGTGAAATCTACGAAAGTGCTATCACAGAATCCGAATGGCTACGAACGTAAATTCGAAATTCGTAGAGAGCCTTCATTGAATCCGTTCGTAATGAAGATTCGTACAGAAGTCTCGCTTTCAATTCGATAATTATTACGTTTTAATGGAGCATATTTTCAAGCCTAATGCAGAACCATATTGTCCAATTGGAATATTTTAATTTATTTTTACCTCCAGTCACTTTTTCACATAATGGAATTAAATGACTAATGAAACTATTCCGCTCAGTTTTGAAGAATGCACAAATGGTCTTAAAACGGGCGTTCCTCAACCTAATATTAGTTAGGTAATGTATGTACAAATGTGTTTAAATCTACTACTATTTAATTATTAACCGATTCTTAATCGTGGGAAAGTCGTGCTTGCACTTCATTTACCACGATTTTGAAAACTGGCCTGTTTCAACAAAAATTACATTAACGCCGACCAGTGTCGGATCCAGCGGGGGGATTTTGGGGGTTAAACTACGTGTCAGTCAGTGGCGGACCCACGGGGAGTGTTTTAATACATAGACACCATTTTATACATACATATGCGCCATAATTAAACACCCCCCGTGGGTCCGCCAATGACTGACACGTAGTTTAACCCCCAAAACCTCCCGCTGGATCCGCCCCTGATGCCGTCCATAGCTTTGAATGAGGAAGCACACACTTAAGGTACCCACACACCGATGCGATTCTGTCGGAACGAATCCGCACCGTTTTTGATGCCACAGAAGTGACTGCTTCGAAAATATGTATGAATGTGGTAGAAGTGGAAAAAATAATAAAAATTAGTCTAAATTTCAGATCTATTCCAAAAATTTTCCACATATCTACCACGTGCTCACAAAACTTATTATTTCCTAAAATAGTACATATGTTCTTCTTTCTAAAGCCATACAAAAATTTAAAATTGGTTAAAAATTAACTGAACTAAAAAATCTTTAGTGCCGGAGGTAGTGCGAAAATGGGTTTTTGAAAATAAGTTGAGAGTTAGGAAAATGTTAGAAAAGTTTTGAAAAGAGGTTCGTTTATTAATCGGCCAGCTCTACGACCTGTATTAGGTCACTTAAAAAGTTCGTGGAATTTTTTATTTATTTTGTAATGCCATTTATTTTCCACCCATATAAAGTTGACCCAGCCTAATGTACAGTCAATGCTCAACAATCCCGAATCGCTTCAAAAATCCATTCAAATTCAATTAAAGACAATTGCTTCGTCTAGACATTTGGAAAGTATTGTTTAGTGCGAGTAATTTATCAAAGACCAATGTGAGTTTTCATTAGCGTAAAAAGCGCTGCTCTAAAATATATCACTTGAGGTTGACCGAAGTTGTTTCAATACACCTAGCAACAGAAATGCATCGAGCTTTAATTTATTTGTGAAGTCCGCTATTATTTAAGTTCATTTAGTCTAACTCTCAAGCTCTGTAATTCGCATAGCACGTTTTTAAAGAAATATGCGTGTAAGGTAATTTTAGTACAATCTCGACCTGACTTTAACTTGCTTTCAAATAAGCCCAGTTCTAAATAAGTGTTGGTGTTGGTTGATTTTTCAAAAAGGATGGGAAGATGATTTATTTTGGCACGAATTTCTATCATCCCTTGTCTAGCTCGAACCAGACCGAACGAATAATGGCACTGAAGATGGCACAACGCCGAAACTGGTGTGCCTCCAAACCAAACTTGACAACGAATGACGCAAATTGGTTCGAAAATATGTCGAACTAAACAACTAGGTTTACGAGTATTTTTTCGTCAATGCGTCCTTTATTCGTGTCTAGTGGCCATATATGTATAGCATATTCCTATCTATTTATTCCAGAAACCTGAAAAACGAAATTTTTTGTAATCATTTGCATTCATACTTATCGAAGCGTTATACTTGTATTCAGTGACAATTATCGAAAATTTCCCCAAAAAGTTTGTTAGTGGTATTTGAACCCGCCTCCAACTCCAACTCTAACATATGGGGTGATGGGCGCAATTTATTTCTTACCATCATTTCATCTCTTCTTGTTGGACGCTATAGCCGACTAAGGGCCATTTTCTCAAGTAACCTGTAACTTTAAAGCTCACTTTATATTTAAAGGTTGCATTAAAATTTATGATTGTGTCTAAAGTAAAGTATTTCATTATCGGCTTTATATTGGTTTAAAATTTTAATCCAACCTTTAAATATAAAGTGAGCTTTAAATTTAAAGGTTACTTCAGAGAATGGCCCTAAGCGATTTCAGCCCAAGTCCAATAAAGCACGCCAATCGTTTCTATTCTCTGCCAACTGACGGCAATTTCAATTCTACAGTGACGTGTGTTCTGTGAAAAAGTAAAGTCGGAATTTGTATGCTCTGACGCCCTAGGATTGTTCTATACCGAAAAAGACATACCCCTATTTTTTATTTTGAAATCAAGAAATATTTAGAGGTCGCTCAAAGCGCTTAAAGTTTCCAGTTTATATGGGCACGCAGAAACGGTATAGAATGCTTGAAAATCAATACTTTTCGACCGGAAAACTTTGCCTCTCTTCAGGAGATTCCCAATAACAATACCAAATTATTTATTTGACCATTTTTTGATAGTAACTATATTTTAGAGGCCCGCCAAAAACTACCAGAAAATGCCATAAATGCAATGGTGCGATAAATAAAAAACCTTTAGTGCTAAAAAATAATTAAATAAACAATTGGGTATTGTTATTGGAAGTCTCCTGAAGAGAACCAGAGTTTCGCGATCATAAAATATTGATTCTCGAGAATTCCATACCATTTGTACGAAAACTTGTTTTCCCCCATATAAAATACATAGAAAACTTTGAGCGCTTTGAACGACCTTTAAATATTTTTTGATTTTGAAATAAAAAAATTAAGGTACGTTTTTTCGATATATAGAACAATCCTAGGGGTGAGAGCATTAAAATTCCGACTTTACTCATATTGGACCACCCCACTGTACATGCTTATATAGTTCTCTCAAAAGCATTCAAAGATTTCTCATATTTATTCGACATCGCACGAATATAATTATTTTTGCTAGATCATCTGCCTAGGTACTCTGCCTCAACGATGGCATCCTCAACTAATCATTATTAAAAGTATTAAATTTTTCGAAAATGCATTCATATTGTTACCGTCGTAAGTATAAGATAAAATATTTGAATGCATCTAAGAAAACATTTTCACTGGTTTAGATGCTGATTGCATCAATCATCATTAAGTTGCATGCCATGACCTACACACCCGAGGGCAATTACTTAATTTGTCAGAGCGTGGCGAATGCGTAGCCCAACGCTTAACCATCGAAATTATGCGAATTCGCCGCAAAATATACAAATCAATATTTATTGCACAACGCGCCTCGTATGTGTGTATAAGTATGCACATGTGTTCACGCTTGCGCGCATACGCCCACTCACGTGCGCTTCAAGTATCTGCGTGACGGGTGTAATCAGCCGTTCCTATGGACAGACATACGTACATATATGTACATATGCGCATATTTTTCCATGTGTTTGCGCTGTGAAGGTGGCGCATACGCGCAAAAATTTAATATGCAGCAATTTATTTTACACCTCAATTACATATGTGTGTATGTATGTGTACGACTGCGAAGATCTACACTGATCTCCAATGTTCGCGCACAGGTAGATGCATATTTACATACATATGTATGTATGTACGAGTCCATGCAAAAATATTTTCTTTGCGGTAACGTTTTCGAATTCTACGGTGTCTTACTAACCACTCACTGCTTAAATTGCTTTGTGATATTCATTTACCTTATTACTTTCCTATCTTCCCTCTTCCCACAGCAACAACTACGAGAGTCCCTACCGCTCCACCTACAGCATACCAACCAGCCTCGGCATACGACCCTACCATCAGCAGTCGCATTTAGGCAGCAACGGTGGTGGCAGCGTCTGCAATAGTAATTTGCAAACACCTGATTCGCCGCGCAGCACGCGCAGCGCTCCATGGCCACGTTCCCAGCAGCGCTCACTATTTGGCAATAATCCCTCAAGTCCGCGGTCGGTACGATCGGCCATCGCAACAGGTGGCAGTAGCGGTGGTGGCGGTGGAGGTAGCGGCTCGCATCATCACCATCAACACCACCATCATAATCAGTCCGGCTCAGCGTCGCAGAATCGACAGTCATCGCATTCGGCGCATCGCGATCACGTCTCTTCATCTTCAGCATCGGCTAATCAGCAACGTTATCGCTCGAGTTCGGTGGAGAGTCATTCATCAAACGATTCACGTTCGACGCGCAGGTGAGTACAACAACAACATAAGCAATAGCCACAACTAAAAAAAAAAAAAAAAAAAAAACATTCAGCGCTCTAATAAGTGCGATACAGCTGCAGTGGCATGACGTGGTCGGCGCATTTTCTCGGTTGAAAGCACGTACGATCGCATTACCGCCGACTGCTTAGTTAAAATATGTTTTTGATAACCAATAATTTGACGCAATATTGACTTTAACTTCAATTATATCGCTGACCCTTGATCCATGTATGCATGTATACCGAATATGCAATTTCGTTTATTTTTTTATTATTATTTTTTTCTATTTTTATTCTTCTGCTTCTCTACTTGCCTCCATTGCATACCGGCAGGCATAGGCATCGTCATCGGCGTACATCCGATAATGAGAGCGAATTATCGCGTGGATCTGGCCGTTCAGGTCGTTCGCATCATCGCAAGCATCGGCGTTCGCGTCATCGTCGTGACTCAGCCGGTTCTGATCATGAGAGCACGCGCGGTCGCAGCTATTCGGGACATCGTTCGTCTTCGGTGCGCAGCGGTTCGGCGGAGCTAATCGATTCCACATCACAATGGCGCGAAGTGCAACGCCGCCAAGCCGAAGCTAGTCTGGGTCAAAGTTCCGTGCAGCAAGCGTCAGTGTCGAAGAGTAGTATGGTGGCGCGCAGTCTGCACAGCAACGACAGTCATTCGGATACACACTCTCATCACAAATCGCGGCGACACCGTAAGAATAAGTGAGTAACCGCGTGCAAGAGCTTTTTTTGCTTTTTTTTTTTTTTACTACTCACTTTTCTGTTTTCTCCTCTTTCATCAGATCTCCATCTGATTCGCGTAATCGCGTTTGGTCAAGCGAACTGGCGAAGCATTTGCAATTCGATCTGGTCGATACGGCCGGCATGACTGAGGATCAACTACGCGAAATACCCTACACAGTGGTGGAGACAAACTCGAAACGTTCAACAATGAATATGAAGATCCACAAGAGCGGCAGCAAGGGCAGCGTGGGTGGCAAAAGCACCGGTTCGGGTAATACGTTAACGAATGGCAGTGGCTCGACTGGTGGACAGGGAAAGAATCGTGTGGATCGCATTAGAGGGTGAGTAAAGAAAATACTATCTTAGAACTGAATTAGAAAAAAAAATAAGCGAAGACTGCACCAACCAAATCGAGTGTAAAAACATGAAGCGTAAAACTGCTTATGAAAGAAAAACAGTCTGAAAATATATTCAAATTAGTGCAACCACAATTTTATAGCTGTATTTAGCGTCTTGGCTATAGAATGGCGGTTATATTCAAGCACATAAAACTATAAAGCTCTCTAAACTTCATACATATCTTCATTTGGAAGCGCAGAAAACAGGCAACTTTATTTAAATTAAATTAAACAGCCCTTATCAAGGTCGGTTCTTCTCTTTGGCCATCCAGATCTGTTAGAGTAAAAAAGAACCTTCGATATCGGGTTTTCTTCCTTCTGATAGGTAGATATGGTACATATGTATGCATATACATATAGATATACATATACATATACATACTTGTCTATGTACCTCATCGAGTTTTCACTCATTATAAGTCTTATCAACTAGGTTGCTTAGAGCTAAAATATTCAGATTAAAATACAACTTAATTTATTTATATTATATTTAAATTTTCATAGAAAATGTGAACCTGGTCAACAAGTCATCAACAGTGATCGAATCAGGTGAGCTTCTCAATGAAAATCATTCCATACAAACACAATTCCATACTAATTATTTGAAAATTATCTCCTTCGAGTGTAGTGTGGGCATTTTTACTATTACTTGAGTCTTTAAATGAACTCGCATAAAATCTTTAGTTGCAGTTACCGATAAGTTTCAAAGCATTTCAAATGATAATCTGTCTTCTTTGTTACTGCACACAAGTTGAAAAACTTTTTTTTAGGATTTGGCCTCATTTGATTGTTGAAAAAAAAAATCACTTGTAATCTTGCCTTAAACTCAGCTAATAAAGCAGAAAAATTAAATTCGAACTAGCTCAGTTCAACATAAAATTCGGATCTTATTTTTTAAGTGAACTTTCTTAATCGATTTCGGAGATGTTCGCCTTGAATATTTATGTATTTAACGCCACGGTGCATGTGGTAAATGGCTGTCTATCTACGCAAATGCCTGCGTTTAACGCCACTGGGAACGGGAGAAACAGGGACAAAGATAAAGACATAATACAGTAGATTTCGTTTAACTGCATTCGAGTGCGCAGCAAACATTTTAGTGTACTTAAACATAAAAAGCAGTTATGCAGACAATCAAAAACTGTGTACAAATAAACTTGATTCGTTAAAATTTATTAAAATAGTCGGAAATTTAAATTTGGGGTTTTTTATGATATTTTACTGTCAATGAACCATTTCGAAAAAGGGAAATTTTTATTCAAGGATAATGATTTTTTTTTTTTTAAATAATTGTGTAAATTATTGAATTTTGATGCCGTGATGCTGATAAACGAACAAATGACTCTGTTACATAGAAAAGTGCAGCCATACAAAATTCAGCTGACCGTGAAATTTTCATGCGAACCACGATTTGTTGGCATTATTTAGCAATATTATGCAGCTAAGCAGAACATGCAACAGCGAACAGGCAGCTAAACAAAAGGATAACGGCAGAGATATAGACAAACAAAAGTACATATAGAAATAAATGACGGTGAATATAAAGATATAGAAGAAGATGACGGTATAGATGAAGAGACAGGTGAAGATAGGGTTTGCCAACATTCCGCCGAGGGGCGGATGTTATTAGAAATAAACATTATTTGTATGTTGCTTGCAAGAGGGATTGATCCCGGACCTATAGTCTAGAAATTCTTTCCCATATTTCTGAACGGCTCTCTTCGTAATGAAATACAATCGTACATCAAGTACCTAACGAACTCTGTCCCTAACATGTACTTCCATCTTCTACAGATTGTTGTAAAAGACTCTTACCATAACATCCAGCCCTCTACTATTTCCGTAAGAAGCTTAATGTAATCACGATATTCAGTGTCACGTTAGAGCTTCTGCTTCGTTTTTTGCGCTATATCCAGGAGATTTTTACCAAGTTTAAAGCACGTCCGTCTTCTCTACACTGGAAAAAATATTAAAACGAATCAGAAACGTAACTGACCTTACCATATGCTTCAACGAAAGTACTGTATATTGGTAAATATTCAATTCAATTACGCGCATATTAAAATGACTGCTTTCGTTCCGAAAAAGCATCCGTGAATTGAATAATCCAGATAAAACCTGCATGTTGCCTACAATGGAATTCGGATATCTGGATATCAACAAATTAAGGGCAAGCATCTTTGCACACTCATCTAAATCCAGCATATATGTAAATGTGCTTTCAAGTGTTGAATTTCCATTAGTACGCGAATTTATATGGATAAACAGGTGCTATGTATGTGTGTGTTGTCACCGCTCTGCATGCTTGGCACATTAACCTATATACGTACGTGCCACATTTTAGTATGAAAATATTATTTTTATATGCGAACATTTTTTAACGATAATAAAGTATTCATATTTACTATGCATTATTTCCCTCAGTGTATTCTGTGGTAACTGAGTGCGATTGGAAATGCCAATTCTTTTCATCGCAAGGGGGGTCTACCTTTTCATCTGCCATCACTAGCCTTTGTATATGTATATATTGTTTTAAGGCGCATGCAGCTCAGTGTCGCAACGGTATTAGACGTCGCCCAACGCGTAAACACCCGTCGCGGTTTTAGAAATGCTCCTCAGAACAGCTGCAGCTGCCAGGTGTTCGGTATGAGAAAGCACCCTACTTAGCTAACAAAAAAAAAAAAAAAAAATAAAACTCTTTCACCAAATTTAGTCATTGTTAGTTCCATCTCTGAGAAGAGTATCCATCTTTAAGTGGTAGCAGGACCATCTAGAATCTCCATATTTTCATAACCTTCGTTGTTCGAGCTAGTCTTCCACCTCATTTAAACGGAGGTAATCCATTAACAAAATCGTTGCGCCCTCATCCATCAGCCTTACTGCGAAGGAGTGGGCATTTTAACATTTCTCCGCTTTGGTCCAACTTGGCTAATCTTGGCAATTGTTCAAAAAGTAGCACTAATCACGATATTAGGGTGCACTTAATCAGCACTTGTACTCTCCGTCCGTTACCATTAGGATTGTTAAATTTCTCGCTTTTACGATCCCGGGATTTCGAGAAGTCATTATCACAATCCCGGGATCCTGAGATTAGTCCCGGGATTTTTATATTCATTACTTTTCAACAACTTAATCGAAAAAAATTGCTTCTATATTATTTGAGAAGCTCTCCTGCCATAAAATAAGTAATAAATAAATGGGTTTGAAACCTACTTTTATATTTAAAGTGGCATTTTTTGTTTTTTTTTCTCTGGTGTCAGGATTTTTTAAAGATCTTTATAATTTCAAAGATATGATTGATTCCAAAAACTATTATATACTATAAAAAATTCAATGCAATGTAGAATAAAAATATGGGTACCAAATGAAGAGAAAATTTCTTTAAATAGAAATAAAAAATTTAAAATTTGTTGGATACACAAAGACGACTAGGTAATTTTTTAAGCTAATAAATTTAGAAGGACGAAATTCGAGGATGTTATCGAGTTTATATAAGTCCTTAACATATAATGTTTTTCAAAAACAAATATTGCGAAATTTCAAGGATAAAATTTTAGAGTGTTACTTTCAATGCACCAAAGAATTGAATCTGTTTAAATTCTACAAAATTTCGTCTTTAAGTTGATGCCCATACTTCTTCTATAAACACATTTCGATGAATTTTTTAAATCAAATTTGAATTGCTGACGTCAGAGTGAAAAACTAAAAACTAAAGTCTGATTATTTAGTCAATCGACTGAGACCTCGTACTGGGTCAAAGTGTCTGCCTTAGCGAGAGAAAAATCTAATGGCGACCCCAAAGGAAATTAAAGTCAATTAAGTGATACCTATAAACTCACACAATTTTGAAACATTTATACGTATGTCACGATCTAGGCAAAGGGCTTATCTGGCATTTTTTGTTTGAAATGTATTTTTCAATTCGACCTCCTTTAGCTTACTTTCACTTGCACCTTTTTCGTGCGCGCTGAAGTTGTGTAGTCAGAGTTGTGTTTATTATCACGATAGAATCCAAAAATCTGTTGTGCTATAGCTGAGTACTAAACGTCCCCCCATATCTTACAAGAACAAATTTTGGTTTTTCTCGTCCTGTACATATAACACCGTGCTACAAAAACAAAAAAATTTCGAAGCACACGAAGCAATCAATATACTCACAAAACCTCACACAGGGTCAAAGTGTCTTCCTTATTCAGAGAGAAAAAATGGGTTGGCGACGGAAATTAAGCGATACCTATAAACTCAAAAAATTTTGAAACATTTATGCCTACGTCTGTACATCGTCACCATTTATGCAAAATGCTTACTTGGAACTTTGTTCGAAATGTGTTTTGTAATACCAGTACCCTTAGTTAGCTCCTAAAGGCACCTAATTCCCGTGCATCGCAGACTAGTAGTCAGAGGTGTGTATTATCTCGATAGAACCAAAAAATCGGTTGTGCTAAGAAACATTTTTTAATTTTCTCGCTCTGTACATATGTATGTATAACACCGTGCGACAAAAACAAAACAAAAAATCTCGATACACACGAAGTAACCAATATACTCACGAAACAATGGGCCGAATATAGTAAAACTTCAGTCCGTGCTATACAGTGTTAAAAAAAATCCGGCCGCAGATCAACCAAAGCTACGCTATCCACTGTGGATTTTTGTGAAAAACTTCTCACTGCGTAAATTTTTTAACTAACTTTTGAATATTTTTCACATTTCAAAAACCTTTTCAAAAAAATCGTGACGTAAGAGTGAATAAATTAGAACGCAGTTTTACTATATTTGGCCCTTTGGGTCGCAAATACATTGATTTTTTTGCGTGTAATAGCCTATTTCCACCAAAAGCTTAACCGCAGTTAGGAGCTTAGGCAAGTTCCAATTATTTTAACATGAAGTGATCGGCAAGGTTTATTTCTTACTTTTTGTCGTTATACTTTCCTTCTTTGGCTTGTATATAGCATGAGCACTTACCCTCTTCGAGTTGTAATATTTTTTCCAATAGTCATAAACTGCAGTTAAGGCTTAGTGGAAAATATCTATAAAATTGACTGTCGCACGGTGTAATTTACGTACAACCCTATCACAGAGTTTATCTTGGTTTTAATATTTTTCAGACTTTATTTCCAAAGTTCAAATGTGACTGACAATGCGAGTGGCCGAAATGGATCTATACGCTCCGCCAGCACAATATCTTCAAGAGAATGTGAACGGAATAGTGGATTAGTCAGGTAATATTACACAATATTATAAGTTTCTCAAAGCCTGTAGTACCAATTTTCTGAAAAAAATTTATATTAAAATCATTAGAATACAAATAGTAGCTCCAAAGATATGGATCAAGGTGGATAGAAGACCTACTTGAATTTATTACTAGGCGTGTTTTATTTGACGAGAAATTTAAGCTATTAGCTTATTTTGAAGGGAAGACTTAGCCAAAATAACTATAATGGCTAAGCCGCCAAAATAAAACACGCTTAATATTATTATTAGGACATATGTATATAGCGCTGCGACGTAGCTAGATCTACTGTGCTCACCCTTATCAAGTCACTCCAACCTTTGGCGGTTAATAAAGTTAAGCACTTTGGAGGGTGTCTTGTTCCAGATTCTGGATGGTGACGATAGCCCCTCTCCAAGATTTATAAGGCTGAGGCGAGTTATACGCGGGCAATCACATAGTATATGCTCCGAGGTTGCATCCTCTGCAAAACCTGCAGTTCGTCTCTTCTGAGAGTCCCATCTTATGCAGATGGTACCTCAGCCTACAGTTTCCTGCCAGTTATCCGGTGAGTGTTCTTAAATCCTCTCTGCTAAGATTTAGCGGCCGTTCAGAGATTCCTCGAGAGGGAGTTTTGAATCTTTTGGACTGCCTTATACCCTTTGTCGAGCGCCATTGGGTTGTAACCTGCAAGTCCGCAAGTCCTCTCATCCCCTTAGGAGCGCTGCTGTGTATCCTTTGGATGGACTAATGAAAGTATGAGGTTCGATCAGGCTCCGTTGGGCACCGCATATCGCTTGAATGTCAGCCCGTTCGTTGCCATAGAATCCCTCATGACCCAGAACCCACCATAAGGTTACTCTGTTACTCTGGCTCCTAGCCTTACCTTTTTATAACTTTCTACTACCTTTGACACCGTTTTACAAGAGTCAGGTGCTCTTAACGCTGCCTGGCTATCCGAAATGATGTTTATTGTTGCCCCATTTGTCTTTATTTAAATCTAGGTCCATATAGGCCGGCCCCATCCATGTTTTCATCCTCAAACTTCAAACCATCAGTATACCAGACTTGTGTTCCCTCACCGAACATAGCGATTATCGTTTTATATAGGGCTTTGTAAAGGTCAATTGCGGTAGCATTGAGTCTGTTAGTTTAACAACGGGAAATTTTTTTTATGATTTTAGGACAGGGGGAATTACCCCTTAAGTCCCCACTTTTCAAGCTACTTAGGTTCGCTAGCCTCAGGGCGCTCCAGCAAGCCTTTATCTCTAAAAGTGTGTCCACACAAACCAGGCGGTGGAGCTTACCCAGAGTGACTTTGGAGACTGCCTGCTTGGCCAGACCAGTGCCGCATAGGTGTGAATCGGTTTTTTCGCCGTAGTGAATGACCAATACGTTAATTTCGCCGATATTCCCCAAGTCATACCATGAAGCCTTTGACAAGCATAAAATGCTCTCGTAGCTTTATTAGTAACCGCTGCGAGATGTGAGTTCCAGTTGAGTCTTATATCTAATATTACGCCTAGATAGTTTGCCTCTTATGAGACCTCAGTCTCTGTCCCGCAGAACTTGGGTTTGGTCAAGTTTAGCTTCCTTCTTATGCTAAATGGGACGATGACAGACTTTGCTTCGTACGACGACTGATATGTCGAGAAATGCACACAGGGTAGTCGGCTTATACTCCATTGCCTTTTCAATAGCTTGGGTTTAGGCCATGTATTGCAGTAATGTACTTGAATTTACAACGACAACTACTTTTGAACTGCTAATTTGTGTAAAATTTTTCGCAATCTTTCTATTGACTATTATTATTGAATATTATTATTTTTCTTTATCAATAAATTTCACAGAATGATGTCCAGCATGAGTATGGGCGACTTCATCTCACCAACCGGCTCTAATCTCAGTCCATTGGAGAATTCTGCGCTGCGAGTATCACACGAACACACTGATTCAGGCCTTGGAGCTGATCAAGACTATGCATATTCCTCTGAAAGGTAAGTGATAATTGTTTTTTTTTTTTTTGTAGCCCAAAATGTATGTATATGCCAACATACCCAGTTGATTTTCCGACCCACATGATGCGTCCTACATTCCATTTCCCTATTTTTAGATCTAGCGATAGTACACGTTATGGAACTAACAAGTCCTCGGGCGCCTCCAGTGGCAGCCATCGCAAATCAATCGGTGGCGGAGGCGGTGGAGGAGGTGGCGGTGGCGGCACATCCACTTACAACAGCTTAATGCAGCAAACTGTGAGTAATCAGCAAATGCAATACCAACAACAACAACAACAACAACAAGCTCCGCCTCGCCAAACTTCATGCTTTGCACAACGCCAACAGCAACAATCGCAATCGAAACCCATTTATAACAATCCCAACTCACACAACAGCCACACCCATCAAATGGGCAAAACGTTGGCACCCATACACTCCTCATCCAGCTCCCTTGGTCCCACATCCCTTGCAACAACTAACTTTACTAATGCTAATGAGAAATGCGCTTCAAAAGCCTCAAACTCAAATTCAAATAACAACTCCAACACCAACATCAACAACATCAACAGTAGCAACAGCAGTGGTGTCGGCAATCGTCTACTGAATTACACCACATTCGAGAATAATCAATACAAATTCAGTTTGAATAATGTTTTTGGCAAAGCGACTGGCGCGGCAGCTGGCAGCGGCCATAACGGTAGTAGTGCCAACAACAGTAGCGGTAACATAGCGGGCAGTAGTGGTGGTGGTGGTGGAGGTAGTAATGCTTATGGTTGTGGTAGTAATTTAAGTTCTAGCACCAATCGCATGGATAGTTTCGTCGAATGGCCGAATACGCCTGCGGCGCCGTACTACTATCAGGGGCCACCGTCGGTCGCAGGGCTGCACATCAAGAAGCGCGACGCCAAGTCCGACATCGGCGTACCCACACGCCGTCTATCCGGGCATGCAATCACCAAAACGCAGCTGCTCACCGGCCAAATGCCAGCAGCTGGCTATTATCACACACCAGCACCCATACATACAGCTGGCATAGGTGGCTTCGATTCGCGGCTACAGCCGGCCAAGTCCGATCTCTTTCTCTCCTATCTGCATCATAGTGCGGGCGGGTCAGTTGCAGTTGGCACTGAGTATGAACGTCCTTATATTTACAACTACAAAATGCCGCAAATGCCCGACTTTCTGCGTAACACTGGGCTGCAGCAACAGCAACAGCAGCCGCAACAGCCGCAGCAACAACATGGTCCACCAGAGGGCCATCAACAAATGTCCGCTTATCACATTTCGGGTGCACAGACCGCCGATCCGCCGCCACCGCAGTCAACGTTGTATAAACCCTCATTCGGTGGGGTTGGTGGCGGCAATAGTGGGGGCAGTGGCAATGGTGGCGGCGGTGGTTTGGAGAGCGCAATGTTATTTGGTGGCGCCACACCTGCCACTGATGTACTCTACTACCAGTTCGACAACGGTAAGCCACCCATCGTTCAGCAACCAAAATCTTCGCTACACAAGACCGCAAACAACATAAGCGGCAGCGCGGGTGGCAATGGCGCCGTGGTAGGGCCGTTAGTATTCTTGCAAAATGCCAATGCCACATCCATGTCATCAGCAACGGCCGGGCAGCAGCCGCAACCGCAGCAGTCACAAACTGTAAGTAAAATCGCCAGAAAATGAGGCTCATCAAATCGAAAATCGTATTGGAAATTGAAAACGTCTTTTGCATGCATGCGACATGTTGTAGCATGAGGCATGTGGCATGTGGCATGTGGCATGTGGCATGTGGCATGTGGATGGTGCCATTAAATATGGCTTGACCAGCTCGTTGCACGTTTGTGTTTTGTTATTATTTGATAAGTGTGCGTGCTACTAAACATTGTTTTGTGGTTTTCGTTTTTGCGCCGCACCCCCTTTGTTTGTTTCATTTCATTAACTGTGGATTACCGCCGTACAACACTCGCTCGACCACAACTACATAAGTTAGCTGTAAGTTGTCAATACTAATTGCTTTGAACTTTGGCGTTTTTGTGTAGAAATTTGCGTGTTTTTTTTTTTGAGTGTGATTTGGTGCGGCGTCCCTTTGTTTGTTTGGCACGTTTTGTTTTTTTTTTTATTTTTGTTTCGTCTCATTAACATTTCGTTAGCTGCGCCGGTTTTCTTGATTTGTTTATTTAATTTTCAGCATATTGGTTGTTTTTGTAAATACTACACTTAATTATGTGTTTATATACGTATCCATTTAATGCTAAAGTATATGCACGTATCGAATAATTTTGTGGCTACCATGTATTTACTTCTTATATACTTAGACAGGTAGATTATGTATAGCCATACATATGTGTGTGCTGTTTAATACATAGATTTATGAATATAATCATGAAAAAAAAATGTCTGCAACAATTGGAGTTAAATCCTACGAACTGCTCTATGCAAAAAAAAAAGGGCTATTTTTGTCAGTTGTGCTCATTTTGAAACATATTTGCAAATAATAACACAGTGCTTGCAAAATTTAACTTTATTTCCCCCCTGCCAATAATTATGTTATTTTTTATATACATACATATTGATGGTCCTCTGCAATAACGGCACAACTCAAAAGTTCATGTTTTTGAGTTACTTATATAGCTGATTAGATTTATATATAACCATATTTTTCTGTGGCAAATCGACATATTTATGCTTAATTTTTACCAATCCGGCAGAGTCGCTGTTTTGCCATTTGTCACAAAACCGCAGTAGCCAACCCTTAGTACTGAACAGTGGCACATTTCTAATATTTATCGTGCGAAAAACTTTCGATAGGTTCATGATGCTTTTATGTGAAACAACGACACTTTTCATATTGTGCCGTTGATCAGCAATACAAATGGAGTATTTTTCGTTTAGCTACTTAGGAGTTGTTACTTATTTCGTATTTTTGCAGTCCAACACTTACTAGATAAATCCTTAGAAAAAGTCATAATTTGAAAGCTTACAAATTTTTTCTACAGAATGAAATGATTAAGAAACACAAAATCTTTAATTGACACTACTGAAATATATGAAATTTTGAGTTGTGTCGTGTCATTATTGCAGAGCGCCATCGATATGTATCTAGTTATGTTGAATTAAAATGTATGTTGGCACTTCGAAATTTATTATACTCGAGCGCACTTGTGCACAACTACGATATTTTAGTAATTAAATTTTAGTAACTACTGCAGCTTATTTACTCAAATTGATATTTACAATGATTTTTAAATGAAAAATAAGATTATAAATTTGTTGAACATGGGCGTAGCCACGCCCACTTATGATTACATGTGTATATCCCGGTAACCGCTCCACCAATTTCTTCCATAGCGTACCCAGCGGCCGTTTTTGGTAAAAATAAACTGCGAATTTAGATACCTCGGACCCCAAAACCCCCAGAGAGGCCTCTTAAATGTATAAATATTTCCATTTAAATCATTGAACCATAAATTGAACTAAATCAAAACTATCTATCTGAAATAGAGTTAGCCCACGTCCCCCGATAAAGTCGGCAAGTCACCGATTTAAAACAAAGCATATCATTTTGAACTACTTGTACTCGCACTGGGATGTTCCACGTCAACAAAGACAGGCTTCTAAACAAAAATTGTGTCTATGGATTTAAGTGTGTATGGCTTAAAAGATTTGTACATTTTCTTTTTAATGCCGTGACCAATAACCGCATAAACTTGGACGGCTGTAGACACCCTGATATAACAAATATTTTTGATCTCCAGTAAATCTCAGCACGACAGAGTTAAGCAGTCTTTTGCCGTTCAACAATTTTGCCAAATACTTCCGATTTAAATTTATAATATCTGAGGTTTTATTCTTAAAAAAAAAACTCAAGAACCGCCAAGTAAAAAAAAAAAAATTAGTCGAAAGCAGTGAGGCCTCAAAAGTTCGCTTCACCATATTTTACCAAATATTTCAAATTCCTATTATCATTTGGAATGAAGTTTCAAGTAACTCCGATAATTTTTAGAAAATATTGTTCACCACTTTGAAGCCGCGATTTCAAATTTCCGAAAAGTAACTTCAAATTCATAATCAGCGACCTAAAAACTTCCGAGAAACAAGTTTCGACAAATTTCCTCACATTTTCAAAAATGTCTCCGCCATTTTGAATTTCAAAAGTTTAATATTAGACTAAATACTGTTGGATATGGAGTTTGAGAATAATATGAGTTCTTTCGGAAATTTTATTCAGGCATTTATCCGCCATAGTGGCATAGTTATTTGAAATTTTCGAAAAAACGCCACTAGGCATTCAAAAGAAGACGAATGTACAAATCTTTTAAGGTATAGCACACTTAAATCCACAGACACAATTTTTGTTTAGAATCCTGTCTTTGTTGATCTTAAGTATAATTGAATTTGTCTACGTTGCAACGCGTTGATTTCAAAAATATGTATATATAGAGTCGTCTATACTATAATAAAACTGAAGAGAAATCGTGTGGGAAAATCGAAAATTTCTTTAAAAGAATGGCCGAAGGTGATATGAGGAATATAATTGAAAACATTTGAACCATTTTTAGAATTTTTGTCTGTCTGTTTTTTTGTTTGTTTGGCTGTTTATCTTCGGAACCACAAGTCCAATGACTTTGATATTTGTGTGTGTGTGAGGATTTATAGCAAATGCATACAAATGAGTCTCCGACAGATGGCGCAGGAGTGGAGATATTTAAAGAATCCGTGCTTATCGTACGACTTGGATTAACGACTATTAACTTTAAGAAAGGAACTATTTCAACAAAAAAAGGACTCAAAACATAGAAGGGGCCAGAACCAGGATACATATTTATGTAGATACGTACCATGAATTTACTTTATAGATGGCTTAATGATAGATGGAGCATGCATACAAAGAAGCGCAAAACTGTTTAAACGCCCCAGATATCCTAGGCATATCCACGGGTCATGGGTGTTTCAAGAAGAAATAAGAAGAATTAGAAAGAACACGGTAAGAATATCGATGGGGGATAAAAAATTAGTACATAGTGATTTTGGTTAAGTATTTGCAAGGTTTTTAAAGCTAAAACTTTATACGGAGCTTAAAAAAATTAAACAAATTTCCATTAAAATTTTCAACTTTTTACCGTGAATTTTTGGAAAAATTTTTAAGGCCTATTAAATTTTAGTCTAATAAACTTCAAGTTTTAAGCGACTAAAAAATCGCGTTAATTTTTAATATTATTTTTTTATTTGCTGAAGGTTTTTTGCACTTTTGCTATATAAGTATGAATTTCTTAAGGAAAAAAATTCGTAAGAATGTTTGCAAAGTAAATTGAACGAATCAACGACTGTCTTTCTAAATTGCACTTATTATATTAAAAAAATTCGCAAAAGCTCTCGGCAAAAAAAAAACTTAAAGTCAATGCGATTTTTCACCCATTTGAAACTTGCACTTTATTATACCAAAATTTAATATGCTACAAAACTGTAAATCCAAAAATTTTCTAATTCTGCATCGCTGACAATCAAAACTTGTTGAATTTTTCTAGGATCTGTAAATGTTTTATTTATATAGTTTTGGTTAAACCATGTGCCATATTTTTATTAAAAAAAAAAAAAAAAAAAAAAAAAAAAATTAACTTTAAAAACCTTTAAATATTTGACACAAATCACCATGTACTCATTTTTATTTCATTCCACTTCCACCCTAGTAGCGCAATTTATCTATTCTTCGGAAAACAATATTTTCTTAGCTCTATAAATGTAATTCAAAACATAGCTTATAATAACTAATAAATTCCTTCAATATGACTTTTATATGTGTTTTGTTGTAAAAATCCCAATGAGCGCAAGTACAATTCATAATTTATTTAATAGGAGCATGAAAAATATGAACTTTTGCTATCGTCGCCTTATCGTACAGTCATAAAAAGATAACAACAACACCAAAATCAGTTTTATACTATCACTCAAACTTCAATAAGTCCCATAATATGATATTTATTATTTACCAATTTTATTAAGCCGATATTTTATTGCTTACAACAAAATATTGCGAAAAACAGCAAAATTAAAGAAGAAATAACCGGACCTATGAAAAAGATAAGCATACTTACAGGCTACTAGCAAAACAGTAAACAAGACTTCGCCTGGCGTTGATTTTGTGCGTACTCCGTACCCAATACGAGTTCGATAGGCAACTGAAGTTTATCACGCACACAAGTAAGCACGCCCGACAATAACATTTATGCGCACTCACTTTCACACACACACACATTCGAGCATTGCATATGTGTACATCAATCTACCTATTCATATGTACATATGTACATTACGTCCTTATGTATGTATGTATGTCAACACTGTTTGTTTGTGCTATGTTGGCTGCCATTAAACCAGCAAATTTATTGACTTCCGCCCGAAGTGAGGACAATTTTTGTTTGTCATAATTTTTGATTTGCCTCTGCCAGGGTCATTCCAGCTGATTTGAGTTTCCTATTGCATACTGACTCGCTCTTTTCCGTCTACATTCTGTCTTGCCTTACTCTCTGCTCTTTGAACGAGTGATGAACCCAACCCGAAGGAAAAACATTTCGCACAATTTATTTTTATTAGAAAATTATACCAAAGATTTTCCTTCCTTGAGTGGGATATACGCAGCCAAAAACGTACGAACGCTCCCT